GTGTAAAAAGATGTCATTGGTAGCAACAACCCCAGGAACAGACCACATATAGTCATCAACGGAAAAATGTCCCATAAGCCCTGGCCCAGTCAGGCAATGATGATGACACGGAACTGAAAATGCATGAATTGAAGGTACATGGCACAACAGGGATGAAGGCCATGAACAGGATGGTATAGGAAAGAAGTTGCAGAAGAATATAAAAAATACTGTTCAATTTCCATAGAGTTCAAAGACAGGCAGAACAAAAGAAGTCATTGCTTAGGAATACTTATATAGTGATAAATGTATATATGTACATGTAATGTATATAACATGCATTATAACATAACATATTTACGTATACATAATATATAGCAATATGTAACAATTTCCTGTGTTGTTATGCGTGTCAAATAAAATACATTAGAAATAAGACATATACATTCTCATATATTTCATACATATATGAAACAAAAGAAAGCTTTATACATACGATGGAAGAATGATTTACACAATCATCAAGTTGATGGTGATTTCAGAGACTCCTAAGGTACTGATAAAGTTCTGTTTTTTAACCTGAATGGAGGGTATTTATGTGTTTATTTTATTATTTTAACTGTAAATAAATATTTTTGCCCTATTTTGCATATAAAATATAGTCCACAATAACACATCTCAAAAGGGCGCCTGGGTGGCTCAGTCGGTTAAGCACCTGACTCTTGATTTCGGTGTCATGAGATTGAGCCCCGTGTCCAGCTCCACACTGAGCATGGAGTCTGCTTCAGATCGTCTCTCTCTCTCTCTCTCTCCCTCTGCCCCTCCCCCACTCAACATCTCTCTAAAAAATGAAAATAAATTTTAAACATTTTAAAAAATAAAGCAAGCAAGCAAATAAATTATAAGCCTCCATTGGAAGAGGAAGCCAAGTATATATGGAATATCTTGGTGGAGGTGAACCAGATGTTCCCCAGGAACAGGAAGGCCTTCTAGAACATGATGCTAGGGAGGCACCAGGCAGATAAAGCATGGAGCCAGGGTGCACTGTTCTCTGGCCTCAGCCCTTCTTCTCTCAGTTCAGAGTTCTCAGTTCTGCACACCACCTGTCATCTAAATTACTTCCATGAGGCAGTGCTAGAGCTGAGGTGAGGACGTTCTAGAAAAGCAGATTTTCTCTCTCTGACAAAGGAGGAGGCATAGGAAGAAGGGAAAGAAAAACAGACTGTGAAACGACCTCATGGCAACATTTCCCAGGAGATCCCAGAGATGTCTACCTGATCCACTGTCGCCAGACCATTAGGGGGCTTCTAACTGTCACACAACTTTAGAGATCGCTGTCCTGAACACTTGTGCGGACAGCATGGCTCACATCTTCTCTTCTTCACTCAGAAACGCTCCAGAGCACAGGCACCTCTGTTTTTGTGGCTCTTAGGATGGACAGCTATCAATTGCCAACTCACTTTCTAGAAGGATTATTCCAATGGCGACTCCCCCTGGCAATGCCAATGAAGACGCTTCTCTGGTAACTGAGCTGCTGTAATAGGTAGTGAGCGCTGCGTCCCTGGGGGGGGGGCGGTTAAGTAGGTGCGATGTGACTATTTGCTCACTCCCAGGGCTGCTAGGATCCAGAAGGAACTTGGACTGGTTTCAGGTAAGACTTGGGCATCCTGAAGGAACTTTCCAAGTCTCTGGGCCTTTGGCTAAGACTGAAATTTCTGGTTCCCTGGTTCCTCTTTGACGTACCCCTTCAAGCCTTCCACTTCTGCTCACGTTCCCGAGGTACTTGCATTATTCCTGGGACTGCCGCCATGCCCTGGGCAAGCTGAACAGGGGTGCTGGGTGTGGGGCAGAGCTGGCCTTCCCTTTGAGTGATGCAGGACGTTTGGCTCAGGGTGGTAAAGGGGACTCACTTGAAGTCACACAGATTTAGGTGCAAATCCCATCTCTGCCGCTTCCCAGTGGATGCCTTGGGGCTGGGTCACTTTACCTCCTGAACCTCAGTTTCCCTGTTCTGCGAAATGGGGATCACCGTAGCCCTCACCCCATGGGGCTGTTAGATGGGACAAGCATGTAAACACTCGCTACAAATGTAAGTCTTCAATAAACAGTCCTTATTGATTTTTATTCTTTTGGGGTTTGTTCATAAGATGCTGAGGACGAGACCAGCCCATGTGTGATGCTGTACGCAGCTGTCCACCCAATGGGATTTGAGGGTCCTTTCTCCTCCTACCTCCAAAATATAACTCCCCTCTGCTGCTATGCCTGCCACCTAAATACGCACCATTGGTGACCTCTGTGGAGTAAGGCAGGGTGGCAGATCGTACTTTCCAGATATAGTCACATCGAGAGCTCACACATCACCCACTCTTCCTCTGACATAACTTGGACGTATCTCCCCCTGAGAGGTGGGGTCTGTTTCCTCTCCTTGACTCTGGGTGGGCCTATGCCCATGGTGTGACACAGTGTCACTTCCACAACCAAGTCATAAAAGGCAATGCGGCCACTGCCCGGTCCCCTGGAACCTTCACACGCATAGTCAGAGCTGCCTCCATCCCTGGCTATGCCATCTGGGGAGTCCGGCTGCCTGAGGCCGCCACGCTCTGCGGAAGCCCAGAGATAACTCATGCAGAGAAACCCCATGCAGAGGCCCCGAGACCCCATGTAGAAAGAGGAACGTCCAGGCAGCCCCCGGCCACCCCAGCCCAGCCACCGCTGAACCGCAAGCGCATAAGAGACCCGCTCCAGGACCACCCAGCTGAGCCCTTCCCGAATTTTTGACCGGCAGAAACCCCGATATATAATAAAATGTGGTTGTTTTGAGGATGACAGCTCTAGATACCTGATACAAGCACGAAATCCTTCATTCACAACCAACATTTCCATCTACGGTGTGTCAGACCATTGTCAGGTCCTTCTACCCTCGGCAATAATAATGACGGTGATAATAATACCAGCAGCTTCCGTGTATCCAGCTTTTGCAAGAACCGGGCAGTGGGCTATGGGGTTTACATGTATGATCTCAGTGCATCCTGACTACAGTCCTGTGAGTGCCCTGCAGGTGCTCTTCTTAACCCCATTCCCCAGATGAGGACACTGAGGCTCAGAAAGATTGAATGACTTTTCCAAGGTCAAGTTAGTCAGTAAGTGGCAGAGTTAGGATCTGAACCTGGATTGGGTGACTTCTGAGGTCCTCCTATGATGAGTCTGTGATGTCAAAATGGCCTTTCCCAGACTGGGAAATTGGCCCTAACCCAGAACACTGTCCACCAGAGCGAGAGCAAACCAGGGGGGCTGTGTCTCAGGCCCCATTTGTCTCCCCTCTCTGTTCCCCATGCTTCTTTTCCTGCCTTGGCTCTTTCCTGGGATCTCTGAACACAGGTTCTTCTCCCCATCCCCCACCAACCCCAGCTGCCCTGGGACACAAGGAGGTAGTGATCCGCTCAACCAGCTAACCTAGGATGTTGACATTGAGTTCTTACACTGGCTGGGCCACCAAGTACCAGTCAGGGCCCCTCAGGGATGGACTTTGGCTCCAAACTCAGCAGTTTTGGAGCTACTTCCCAAAACAGCAGGTGGGCTGGGGAGCAGCTGACCCCAGAGCGGGCTCAGTCATTGCCCCACACACACAGGAGCTGCGGGCGCCCTGTGCTGGCTGCCTGTACTTGCATGCAGGTGAGCTTGGCCTTCCCCCTGCTCTGATGGGCTCCCAGCTGATGGGGGATCAGGCATGTCAGTCCCTATATTGCAGGATTCATGGAATAATCCTTCTATGGAGGGAGTACTTACTCAGCCTCCAGGCATGGGGCCCAGGGCTTTACACACAGCATTGGATTTCATCTTGCAAGGACCCCATGGGGTAGGTACTATTATCATCCCCATTTTTCAGGGAAGGAAAGTGAGGCTCAAAGAGTGTGTTTACCAAAGTTTGCACAGAAACCAGACGCCCTGAGATTCCAAATATAACATGCTCTGGACCACAGTGTCATCCCACCCAGAGTGGGGAGACGGAGGTATGTTCTCTTTGAAGGTAAGGAACCGGGGAGGGTGGGGGCGATGGAGGTTGGGGGGAAGGCCGTGGAGGTTGGCGGGGGAGGGTGGAGGACAGGCCTTTGAGGTGGGCCAGGCGCATGAGCAAGGGTTTGTGGGGGTGGAAAAGGGAAGTGTGGCATCCTGGGCAGGGACCTCAGAAGGAGCAGGGTTGCGGGCCATGTGTAAGTAGCAGGGTGTTCGGGGAATGGGGAGCCCTTCCCGGGCCAGGGCGGGAGGGGGTGGCGGCGGGGATACCAGAGGAGGTCAGAAAGGGGTGCGAGGGCTGGACGCTGAGGGGTCCCGAACGTGCGCTGGGAGTGGGGCCGCCGACTGCAGGTGATGGGGAGGCTGGGCGGCCAGGGAGCTGGGCGGAGGCGTCGGAGGTGCATTTGCAGGAGCGGGGGCGGGCTGCGAGGCTGCCCCGGAGGGGACGTCTGCCCCAGTTCCAGCCCACTGCCCTGCCACCACGCACAACGAAAGACGGCGAGGACCCGAACCTCTCCAGAGGCTGGGAATCGGGGAGGGGTATGAGTGCAGCTCCGACTCCCCTGTCTTGTCTATTTGCCATATTCTTCTTTTAAAAGCGATGCTACGAGGGGGAGTGCTGACCCTAATCAGGAGATCTCGCAAACAGGCATTTCAGGCAGGACGGCCGGAATATCTGTGGGTGAGGCGGGACCTGCCCCTCCTGGGACCTTCTCAAGCGCCCCTTATCCCCCCTGATTCCCAGAAGCGTCTGGAAATAAAACCCCTAGTTTCATCCCCTAACTGCCCCCTCTCCGGCCTCCTGCAGTCTTTACCCGACAGATTTTTACTTAGCTTCTGCTTTAGCGGCACAAGCCGACCGACAGGCACCGGACTGAAAGAAAGGGGGCAGTCCCGGGACCTCGCGGGAGCCTGTGCCTTTAAGGGTGGGGGCGGGGCCAGCCGTCGGGGGCGTGTCACTGGGCGGGGCCAGCGAGGGCAGGGCCTGACCCGGACCCGCCCGGGCCGAGCCTGGGAAGTGCCCTGGACTCTGCCACCCGCTGGGCCCCCGGATCGGCGGTGACGGGTGGGGGGAAGTTCGGGCAGCGCGGGCTGGCGGCGGGGGACCGGGAAGGCCGCGAGGCCCGGCGGGGTCGAGGTTCGGAGTTGGCGGGTCCGAGGCCCGGCTGGAGGTAAGGGGAGCCTCCCCGTCCGCCAGGGCGCCGCCTGAGGGCCGGCACCCGGACTTCAACTTCTCAACATCCGTCAAGGACTGGGAAACAGCACGTTGACGTTCCCCGGGGTGTCGTACCTAGAAAGGGCAGCCGCAGATGGGGTTGCAGCCCCAACTTCCTGTACCCGCGGCTTCCTATCGGGACTGCAGGTCTGTGCGTAGGGCTCCGGACAGGCGCACAGAAGGTGCTCAATAAATGCTCCCTTGTGAACGAGGACAAGAAACAGGCAGCCAATAGAGAGGAGGCACACTAGAGATGCAGGCATTTATTGAGCTCTTATTGTATGCCCCAGTGGGCCAGCATTTGTCTCCATTTTGCAGATGCGGAATCGGAAGCTCGGCGAGGTGAAGTGACCTCCCCGAGGCCGCACAGCTCCTAAATGTGACTGAACTGGAAAGCTGGAGCGTCTGGTTCCAAGTCTGGTTCCAAATCTGTGCCAAGTTCCAGGAAACAACAGGAGAGGGGCAAGTTAACAGGTGAGAAAAGAGAGCTGGGACAGGCCTTTTCTGCGCCCCCTTTCCCTTCTCTTCCTCTGGAGCCTCCTCCCCACTCCTGTCCTGTCAGGTCATTGAGAAATATCTATGCAAAGAATTACAAAAAAGTAACGTTTTCTGGACTTTGTTTCTGTTGATGGCAAAAACAAAACATGCTCATCTACAACGTGCGCAGAGCCAAAAGAAGGAAATTGGTGTGCCAAGGACTTGGGTTTTTTCCCAGTTTGATTTCTTTGGAAGGATTGAAGCTGGGTTTGCCCTGGTCTTGAGGTAAAAGGCAGATGCTAGAATCCAGCTCAGCTCTGCTGCTAACATGCTGTGTGATTTTGAGCAATTCACTTCCCTCTGGGCCTTGATTTCCCCATCAGAGAAGCTGTGGTTGGCTTTGTGACCTTGCCTTGTGACTTTGGGCAGGTTAGGGAACTGCTCTGAGCCCAGTTCCCTCCTTTGTAAGACAGGCGGGGACAATGACATCTCCATGGTTGTCCTGGGGACTGGATGAGAGAGGTGAGGCACAGTGGCTGAGTGAGGACAAAGACCTGGCTCTGTGCCCAGGTTTGCTCATCTGTAAAATGGAAATATTAAAAGTACCTCCCCTTGGCCAGTTGCGGGAATTAAATGAGGTCATCTGTGATAAGTGCTTAGCTCACTGGAAGACATAGAACAGCATTGCTTAGTTGTCTCAAATTGGTGGAGGCCACGTCCACCCCCAGAAGTATGTTTTTGTTGTTCTGAGGGCTTGCCAAGTCCCCACCACTGCCCCCTTCTGTATTGATTTTCCCCAGCTGCCCCCCCCCCCGCCCCCGAGCTGAAATCTCCTCTGGTGTCCTGGGATTCCTCCTTCCAGCCCTGATATTCCAGTCTTGGGCTAGGGGCTGGGTGTGGGTGGGAGAGGCCTCCATCTCCATGGAGACACTATCGGGGGTACCTAGGAAGAAGGGCATAACTAACCTGCATGCGAAATGAGCGGGGACCTTGGGGCCTTCCAAAGAGCCTCCATCCAGAATGAGTTTCTACATTTGTTTTCCTTTGGTGGGGTTAGCGGGGAGGGCAGTTCCTCAACTGAAAAAGTTTTCAGTCCCTTCCTCCTGGGGCCTAGGCTCTTTGGTGACACTGTCCCTCCTTCTCACCTCACTCTCTGCAGGCCACCGGAGTGACCGGCTGTTTGGAAGTGAAACACTGCCGAAGGGGGAGCGGAGAGTGAGGGCCAGGCTCCGCAGGGTCAGCTGTATCTGCACCCAGTGCTGAGTTTGTTCTGTGTGGGACTGCTGATGGTGGAGACGGTGTCCGGGGCCAGGGGCCCATTTACAGGGGCCCACATTGGCCCCCAGTTTTCAGCCTTAGGTGTGAACCAGACTCCCACGGAAGACGTGAGCATCCAGGTAGGAAGCTGGCATCAGGGGTGGGTGTATTCATCTAATCCACAAATATTTACTGAGCATCTACTATGTGCCAGGCACTGAGCTGAACCCTGGGGTATACCAGGGAACAATACAGACAAAAATTCCTGCCCTCGTGGAGCTAACAGTCTTCTGGGAGGACAGATCATGGAGCAAACATGTAAATTTCAGGTGGTAAGATGTTAAGGGTTTTGCAAATAACCTCTTTGGGTGGGAGCTGTGATGGGGAGGGTGTATTTCCAAATATTTCAGAGTGGGCTTCTGTGAGGAAGTGACCTCTGAGCCAAGCCCTGAATGGAAAAAGTAAGTCACTTATAAAGGCATCTGGAAAAATCTGGAAAAAGAACATTCCAGGCAGAGAACAGCAAGCGCAGAGGCCCTGAGGCAACAACAAGCTTAGTATGTTCCTGGAGCAGTGAGGGGGCCAGAATGGCTGGAACAGGGTGAGTGAGGGGGAGAACATTAAGAGATGAGGATGGAGAGGTAGTAATGGCCAGATTACAAAAGGCCTTATAGGCTGAGGCTAGGAGATGATATTTGTTTACAGTAGTTGGGAGCCCATGGAGAGTTTCAGGCAGAGGGATGTCAAAGTCTGATTTATGTCTTCAGAGGAGCTCTCTGGCTTCCCTGGGGAGAATGGATTGAGAAGAGGAGGGCGGCAGCAGGGAGATCAGTGGGGGGCTTTTGTAGCTATCTAGGTGAGTGGTGGTGGTTGTGGAGGATAGGAAAGGAATGGAGGGGTTTGAGATAAATGTTGGGGGCACAATGAGTGGGATGTACTGATGGATTAGAGGGAAGGGCATAGTGGTGGAAGAAAGAGAGGGGATTTCTGGGGGGATAGTGGTGCTGTTGACTTGGATGTTCGGAGGGAGGAGACATAGGGACACTTTGGGGAGAGGCAAGAAGTCTTCTTCCCATAGGCCATTAAGACAGGCTGCAGGAACTTGAATCATGCCATCCTGATGTCTGTAAGCGGAGGACAGGTGACAGTGCATCCCAAGTTAAAGACTGAAGGCAGGGGACTGCTCACGATGACCCTCTGGAGCCCCACCTGCAGGAGGCTGGAGTTCTCGCCCTTCCCCATTCCCAGGAGAATGGAATAACAAACTCCTGCCTCTTGAACTGAAGGGCTGAGAGTGTTTAGTGCCCATGACAACTTTGTGGGGCTGCAGAGTACCTTCATGCCCATCTTCTGAGGCTGAACAGGTAATTACACCCATTTTACAGAAGGGAGAGTGGTTTATGGTTACTGTGGTTATAAAATTCACGGCTGCCTCTCCAAGGAGGGCAGGATTTTTCCTGGCGGTAGGAAAATCTCGGTAATCTGTGGCTTGTGCCAGATAATCTCTGAGTTACTGAGCACTCAGGCCAGCCCTGTGTCAAGCTCAACAGATTTTCCCCTAAACCTCCCAAGATGGGTATAAACGTCTCTGTGCTATAGAAGGGGGTGCTAAGGTTTAGGGAGGGGAAGCTGGCCAGAGCCAGGAGAGGGCCAACTAAGGACTCAGGGAAGAGGATGAGAAAGGAATGGGGAGGAGGTGAAAAGTCATCCACCCAGACTCAGAGCCGGGCCACTATAACTATGCCACCCCAGGGCAGGGAGCTGGGGGCAGGTGCTGGTGGGCTTTGGGGGAGGGCATGACCCCCTTGGGATGGGGGCTGATTCGGGGGCTGGAGGCAGATTTGCGGGACCTGATTTGCTGGCTCACTCTGCTGCCAGGGAATGGAGACAAGCTGGGGTGGGAGCGTCTCCCTGCATCCTCCCTGGCTGACCCTGAGGATGGGGAGGAGGGAAGGAGGGCAGGAGGGCAGGCAGGACAAGGAGACTACCCCTGCCCAGTTGGGCTGTTTCCCCAGGAGCTTCAGCTGGTAACTTTCAGGCGGAGCTGAGTCTGAAAACCACCTAGCAAGGGTGGGCTGTGTGCCCTTGGGCAAGTCACTTTGCCTCTCTATGCCTCCGTTTTCTAATCTGTTAAGTGGAAAGAATCGTACCAATCTCCTGGGTCTGTCACGAAGACTGAGTGAGATGGTGTCCAGCACAGTGTGTGGCAAAACAGTTATGAGGACCTACTGTGTGCCAGGCACCGTGCAAGACTTTGGTGGGAGAGGTAGACACGAAACAAGTGTGTGATCCTACAAATAACTGGGGATTTCAAAACACGTAAGTGCTTGGAAGGAGAGGACCTGGAGTGATGAGAGTTTATAACTGGGGGATCCGCCTTAGGCTGGAGGCTGTTAGGGAAGCCTTCCTGGAGGAAGCATCTGGGGAGCTATGAATGTGGATTCGCAGGGCCAAAGAAGGAGTGGGGTATTGGGTTGAAGGGACGGCAGGTGCTGTAAGTACAGCGGGCTCGGTGTTGCATCTGCAGAGAGCCAATGAGCAGGGTTGGGACGATGGCCACGGGGCTCGGAATCCAGAAATCTCGCCTGCCGTGTGGTGTTGGTGGGAGTTCAGAGAGGGCTGAAGGATCGTGGGAGCTGCAATCTGACAAAGTTGTTTCTTTTGAAATTAGGGTGAAATATACATAACCTGAAATTCACCAACATAACCTAAAATTCTCCCACTGTGAACCCTTTCTCAGTGAGCCGTTCAGTGGCCTTAGCACGTTCACACTGTTGTAGCCGTCACCACCATCCACCTCCAGAACTTTCCCATCTGACAAAACCGAGACTCCATCCCCAATAAATAAGAACTCCCCATTTCCTCCTCCCTGAGCCGCTGCTTTCTGCTTTCTGTCTCCTCTGTGGATTTGACTAGTCCAGGCACCTCCTGTGAGTAGGTTAGTGGGTGTTTGTCTTTTGGTGACTCACTGATTACCCTGAGCATGCCGTTCTCTGTTATGGCGCCCCAGAAGGTTCTCCCATGTTGTAGCGTGTGTCGGAACTCCCTTCCCTCTGAAGGCTGAATGATGGTCCGCGGTATGGATATGCCACCTCCGGTTCGTCCATGCGTCCACCAGGGACACTTGAGTTGCTTCTAGCCCTTCTGACTGTCGTGAATAGTGCCGCCGTGAACATGGGTGTGCACGTCTTCTCTCTGCGACCTGGCTTTCCGTTCTTTTTGGTATAAACCCAGAAGCGGATTTACTGGATCATAGGGTAATTCTGTGTTTTTCCACTTTTATTGAGATAGAGTTGACATCCAGCGCTGTGCATAACGTCTTAACGTACATCTATTGTGAAATGATGACAATAAGCCTAGTTAACATCTCTCCTCTCGGATAGATTTTAAAAAGAAAGGAAAAATGTTCTTTTCCCCCGTGATGTTCTAAAGCCTTTCATACTTACCAGACAGCAGCGCTCCCTGGTCACCGTGCGGTGCGTTACATCCCTGTCCTGGTGACTAACTCTCTTTTTGATTTTTCGGGAACTACCACGTTGTTGTGCAAGGCTCTGCACCATTTCACATTCCCACCAACGGTGCTGGAGGGCTCCTCCCCATCCCAGCCCCATACTTGCTAGTTTCTGGCTTTGTTTGCTTTGTATGGTAGCTATTCTAATGGGTGGGAGGTGGTATTTACAAAGCTTTTAACAGAAAGTTTGAGAAGGAGGGGGGCACATTCCAAGCGGAGGACAAGGCCTGAGCAAATGCATGACATGACAAAGGACAAATATCCATTACATAGAGAGCTTCCACAAGTCAATAAGAAGAAGCAAACATTGCAACTGAAAAAAAAAACTGGCAGTTCAAAGACGGAATACAAATGGCCTTGAGAAGGGCACTGAGAAGTAATCAGGGACTTGGAATTGAACAGCAAGAAGATTCCTACCACATCAGCCTGGAAAAGACTTGGTGGCAGGTGCTGGTGGGGAATCCCATTTGCCGGCTGGTGCCCGTGTGTATAAGTAAAGCTTGGGGGAGCATATTTCGGCAAAACCCATTGAATGCCTAAGATATTTGTCCCCCTGGAAGGGGCACTGTCGGGGCCCTGCCCATATCCTTTGCACACTACCACTTTGGTGGGCTTCTGTTGACTTCTAGTGGCCGGCACCTTTTTCCAGAACCCCCGTAAGCACAGTAGGCAGGAAGCACTTGCCTACACCACCCGCCCCCCGGCACCCCCAGCATCCTCACCTGATGACCGATTGGAGTTGGTATATAAATACCGCACCTCCCTTGCCCCTGGGATTACTAGCCCAAGGTGGGCGGTCCCAGCCCCGCCACGCTGCTTTCTTTCCCTTCCTTCTCCTGCTTCCCCATTGTGGTGGTTACATTCCATACACTTCCCAAATGCGTGCTTACTCACCCATAAGTCCGTGTCTCCGCGTTGCTTCTGGAGGAACTCAGACTAGGATGCACTCTGACTCAGCACTTTTACTTCTAGAATTCTCTCTTTCAAAATATTCTCATATGTACTCAGAGAGTCATGTGCAAGGATGTTGAGTGCTGGCTGTACTGAAAGATCAGACACGCTGATATGCCCGGCGGTGGGGAAATATTACCACCCCCCCCCCATATCATTCAGAGCATGAAATACTCCTCATGTTAAAAAGACTACAGGGAGTCCACAGGGAGTGTGTTGGCTAAAGACAGGGTTCTAGAACCTCAATTCCAACCCTGTCTACCACTGGGTGGACCCCAGGACACTGCTTTAGTCTCCTTATCTGTATATGGGGCATGATAATGGGGTCTTCCTTGCAAGACTGCGGGACAGATTAATTGAGATACATTTTAAGCTCCTAGCCCTGTGCCCGGCATATGGAAATTACTCAGCATGCTTTCACTTTGATCACCTTCATCATTCCGTGTACCAGTATATGAATAGGTGGCATATATGTGAAGTGGTAAAAGCAAATTATAGAAACAAGAGATTTAAGATGGATCTGTTTCTGTAAAACAAAAGCAGCTGTATAATAGGATGGACATACAAGGTCATTATGCCCGTAAGGGGACTCTGGAAACTGATCATGGTGGGAACTTTGGAGAAAGGTGGGATGGTGGAAGGTAGGGAAGAGAAACAAATTCATGAATTACTTGTGTAAACAAGTCTATTTAAGAAGATTAAAGCATGGGGTTGGCACTTGGAGGGTGTGGGGGGCTTAGGGGTCAGGCTGAAGGAGGGCATCTTCAGCTACTTAGATGGTCCTGGTCCAGCTGCCCTCAGGGTGTCGACCCCTGACGTCCCCCTCTCTCCCTTCCTGCAGTGTCGTGACGTGTGTGGCCTGAACATCTCTGACCGCTGTGACTTCGTCCGGACCACCCCGGACTGCCGCAGCCAAGGGGGTTACCTGAACTACCTCGAGGGCATCTTCTGCCACTTCCCACCTAACCTCCTCCCTCTGGTCATCACCCTCTATGTGAGGCCCTGCCCCAGGGTGGGGGGCAGGGGCGGTGGTGAGCGGGGCTGGTGGGCCAGGCTGGACTTGACGCTCCCTTCCCTCCCCCCTGCCCCCGCACCCCTCTCCCAGGCTTTCTGGCTACTTTACCTGTTTCTGATTCTGGGAGTCACCGCGGCGAAGTTGTGAGTGTGGCCTTGGGCTCCCATCCAGCTTATAGATGGGAACGGAGTCCCTGGGAGGTTTGACATTGGGGTGACCCCGTGTTTAGAGGGAGGACAGCCGCGAAGGCACACCCTGTTTGCTTTTCTTCCCTAGTTTCTGCCCTAACTTGTCAGCCATTTCCACCGTGCTCAAGCTCTCCCACAACGTGGCAGTATCCTTTGGTCCAGGGCCTGCGCCCCGGAGGGTGGGAGGGCGGTTAGAGGGGAGGCTGGGAGACCGCGTGGCGGCTCACGGGCCCGGGACAGGTCTGGCCAGGCTGGGGCCCCTGCTCTGTGTCCCCTTGACGTGCTCCCCCCATGGCGTCACCTTCCTGGCCTTCGGGAACGGCGCACCCGATATCTTCAGCGCCCTGGTGGCTTTCTCGGATCCGCGCACAGCCAGCCTGGCCTTCGGGGCGCTGTTTGGTAAGAGCGGCCCCGGGCAGCTGGGGGGGGGGGCGGGGGGGCGGCGGCGGGGGGGGCGGGGCGGGCTGAGCTCTGCGTCTTCTCTTCCAGGCGCGGGTGTGTTGGTTACCACCGCAGTGGCCGGTGGCATCGCCATCTTGCGCCCCTTCACGGCCGCCTCCAGGCCCTTTCTCAGAGACGTTGTTTTCTACATGGTGGCCGTGTTCCTGGCCTTCACCGCACTCTACTTTGGCAGAGTCACACTGGCGTGGGCCCTGGGTGAGCAGCCACAGGGCTGGGCTGGTGGGAGGCACCGGGGGACACGAGCGGGTGGCCCCACTTTGGAGGAGGGAGAAAGCCTCCTCAAGCTGGCTTGAGCCAAAAAAGGGAACCTATGGTTCAGATAACCAAAGGGGGCAAGGCGGGGAGCCTGGGGGGATGTTCTGGATTTTCTCAGTGTCCCATTTTAACAAGCAGTATAGCCAGGTTGCTGACTGTGGCCCCCAGGGTCCCTGCGGCGCACACACCCCACTCGTGGTTCAAGGGACGTGGACAGAGGCACAGTTCACAGGGGGTTCTGGAAACCCACCAGGGACACTGAGATGCAGAGACATCCAGGGGTCAGCAGCCGCAGGAGCCCCTGAGAGGCAAGGGGACGGGGCTGGACCCCAGCGAGGACTGGAGGCCTGGACCAGGTGCCACCAAGCACATGCAACAGTCCCAGAGGGTCACAGGTCCTGCCAGAGACAGGGCACCACTCCAGGGAGGTGGTCTGGAGAAGCACCACAGACTCTGTCTTGCTGCCTTCTGATTTGTCTTCAGGCCCCTTTTCACCAAACCCAGTGCCGCCAGAGCTCGGGGGCTGCGGTCTGCGGGGCTCAGCTTCCCAGGGCACAGAGCAGGGCACTAGCCCTTCGCCCTTGAATCGGGTCCTGGGGGCCACTGTCTGTGCCAGGCGTTACCTCTTTGATTGCCTGATTGTGGAGGGCAGGACGGGAAGATGGGCCAAGGGAAAGCAGGGTAGTGGGGTGGCGGCTCTAGGAAGTGGCCATTTCCCTACTGGTACCGAGTAGGCTAACGCAGACCACCACCAGTAGGCCCCAGCAGGAGAACGGGCAGCACGTTCTGGGGCTCTGGCCAGGACGCCACTTGGTGATGTCCTGTGCTCTTGTCTGCAGCTTACCTAGGCTTGTACGTGTTCTATGTGGTCACCGTGGTTCTCTGCACCTGGATCTACCGATGGCAGCGGAGGGCATCCCTGGTCTACTCCATGCCAGGCACTCCAGGTGAGGGTCTGAATTGAGCTCCCAAGCGAGGCCAGTGGGGGCTCGCACCCTCTGCACCCTTCACGACTACCTTACGTGCCTGGAGGCCAGCGTCACCGTCCATCTCCTCTTCGTACTTTGCCTGCTTGTTCTATGCCAAGGTCCCACCTGCACACTTCCATTGTGCTGGTGAGACCTCACCAGCTGCTTGTCCGGTTTCACGGGCTCTTCCTCCTCCGTGCTCTCTCCAGGGCAGCATCTGTCTCAGAGCTGTCACTGCTTACCTCCAGTGATGCTCTCCACTGCCCTCGGCTTCGAACCCAGATGTTTCCCTATACACCAACATGTGCGCATGCAAACACACATACGGGGCACATACGGATACAAATACATGGGCACCCACACCTGCACAGCACAGTCGTACAAATATACACCTACACAAATACATAAGCAACACACGTACGTACGTATACGTATACACATCCCCATGAACAACACACAGGGGCCGGTGACTCACCCTACAGAAGTCTGCCATGATTTTTCCTCTCCTCCCTCTCTGTCAGCTGAGCCTTCAGAGTTCAGCACACATCACCCCTGTGCTGTCTTATAGACCCATCATAGCCACATCAGGCTGGAGGAAAAGGGGGACTGAGGTCTGGAGAGGAGCCTAAGGTCACATAGAGGCAGGACTAGGGCTAGCAATGAGGAAGACCATTTTCCTTTTAGGCCCCTCTTGCCTGGGCTCAGGCTGTAGCATTCCGGAGGACTTCCAAAAAAAGGTTCAGACTGAAAAAGAAAAATATGATGGGTTCCAAATTCTGGAAAGTACAAAATCGAAGTCAGCAAATGTTTGAGTTACATCTTCAAACGCGCTTATTAAATTCGACATGATAGCCAAGTCATTACATTTGAAGATGTTTTTTTGAGTTAGACTTTCTCACTCGGTAAGAATGCTGAGAAATCCAAGGTCCAGAGGGCCTAGACACTTGTACCCTGGAAACGGCCCTGTCCTAGAGGTATCCTACCCTGGAACGGTGCTGGGCAGTGGGTGGTCTGGGCTCCCTGGCTGGCTCGTGTGAAACACCCCTCTCTCCTACAGAAATGCTCTCAGATTCTGAAGAGGATCCCGTGTCTTCCAACAGCTATGACTACAGTGAGTCCAGACTCTGGGCCCAGCGGGGGTGGGGTACCAGGGCAGGGCTGGGGGTAACAGAGGTGGGGAGATGGGGCCATTGAGGCCCCAGGAATGAGGCTCCGAAACAGCCCCACCTCTCACTGCACGACGGCTGAGCCAGGCCCTGGGCTTTTCCTTCTTCCTGAGGGTTGGGAGGACCAGGGGGAGCAGAGAGGGTCTCCTGGAGGCTGAGCCAGCCACGGATACCTGCCCCTCCCCACCTCGTACACCCAGGCGAAGAGTACCGGCCGCTGCTCTTCTACCAGGAGACCACAGTTCAGATCCTGGCCCGGGCCCTCAACCCTCTGGATTACAGGAAGTGGAGGAGCAAGTCAGTGTACTGGAGGGCCCTCAAGGTGTTCAAGGTAGGAGGGGGGACCCTGGAGCCAGGCTCACGACTCCGTGACAACACAGGACAGTGGCCACTCAACCTTCTCCAGCTCAATGAGAGAGGAGGGGCGGGGGTCTGCTGAGACCCTCTCAGAATAGATTACGTGGGACTTGATGGGGAAACTGAGTCATAGAGTCTGGCTGATGGCCTGACCTGCCCCCCATGGAGGAAGGATTGCGTTTGGGACAGAGGGAGAGGGGAGGGAGTCCCTCCTGACTTGGTGAGGGGGGCTCTGGGGCTCAGATGAGGGAGTGGGTCAAGGGGAGCTCGAATGAGAACAAGATTGGGTTGTTCTGACCATTTGCTGTTTCCCTGGGCTAAAGTCTCCGGAGGATTAGATCTGGGGCCACTGTGTTCTTGGGGGGTATGCTCTTGTCTGGCACAAGAGGCCAAGACAAACTTTGCACGCATATCTTAAGCCTCTCCTCCTATCACATTCACCAAGCACCCATTGACCGAAGCTTGTCCCGGGGCTACGTTCAACATCAGTGGGGCAGGAAAGTATATTCTGCAGCTTCTAATCACTTGACAAAGGACGTGGGCATTTAATTCTATTCCAGGAAAGGATCGAAGACTTGTGAACAGTATCAGGCCTATCACAGTTTATTAAGTTGTGGCAGTTTCGTAAAAACTACTCCGTGAAGGGCTGAGTACGGTGCGAAACAGGCATGTGCCTCATTTCATTGCCCTTGGCTTTACCAAGCTTCACAGACATGCGTCTCTTACAAATTGCAGGTCTGTGGTGACCCCTGCGCTTAGCAGGTCTTTTCCAAAAGCATTTGCTGATTTCACGTCCCCGTGTCGCATGCTGCAATTTCTTGAAACATTTCAAACTTTGCACCCCTGCTCTATGGATCGAGGTGAGCTGGGAGCAGTGATTACAGCTCACTGGAAGCTCAGGGGCTGGTTAGCATTTTTGAGCAATGAAGTATTTTTTTTTTAGAGGTTTTATTTATTTATTTGGCAGAAAGAGAGCAGGAGAGCACAAGCAGTGGGAGAGGGAGAAACAGGCCCCCTGTCGAACAGGGAGCCTGACGTGGGGCTCGATCCCAGGACCCTGGGATCATGACCTGAGCCGAAGGCAGTCATTTTTTTTTTTTTTTAAAGATTTTTTTTATTTATTTATTTGAGACAGAGAGAATGAGAGACAGAGAGCATGAGAGGGAGGAGGGTCAGAGGGAGAAGCAGACTCCCTGCCGAGCAGGGAGCCCGATGCAGGACTCGATCCCGGGACTCCAGGATCGTGACCTGAGCCGAAGACAGTCGCTTAACCAACTGAGCCACCCAGGCGCCCATGAAGTATTTTTTAATTAAGGAAAAGTACATTTTTTGAGACACCGTGCTACGGCACTCTTAACAGACAGTATAGTGTAAACATAACTTTTCTATCCACTGGGAAACCAAAAAATCCGTTTGACTCGCTCTATTGCAACATGCACTTTACTGAGGTGGTTTGGAACTGAACCCATGATGTCTCTGCGGTTTGCGTGTCGCGAGCGCCCCGTATGTGTGATTATTAATTTAGTTATTGACTGAAAGCGCAAGGTGTGGAGTCCGTTGGAGCTGGCCCTGGATCCCAGTTCACACACCCTTCTGTGCGTCTTTGGAGAACTTCCTTAACCTCTCTGAACCTCAGTCTCTTTTTCCGGAAGGTGAGAAAAAGAATAGTTCGTACGCATGGGGCCGTGGTTAGGATTAGTGGCTGAGGTGCCGCGGTCAGCTGAGTCACGGCCCCCCAAAGACGTCCAGGTCCCGATCCCCGGAAAGGTGACTCTGTTACCTTCCTGGCAAAAGGGATTTGCAGGTGTGATGAAGGGTCTGGAGAGGTAGAGAGTCTCCTGGGTTATCGGGGTGGGCCTGATGTCATTACCAGGGTCCTTATAGGGAACAAGGGGGTCTGGGGTGGGGGGGCAGGCAGAGTCGGGGGAGATGCGATCACAGAAGCACAGCGGGGAGTGACCGGGGGCCACGAGCCGAGGGATGCACGTGGCCCCGCCGACACCTCGGTTTTGGGACCCCGTGCCCCAGAGCCGGAAGGGGAAGGATCTGTGTTGCTGGAAGGCTCTCGGTTTGGGCTGGTGCGCCAGCAGCCGCAGGAGATTGCCGTGGACGCTGGGCCTGCCGGGCCTCGGCCACGATGGCCGCGTTCTGGCGTGACCTTGCCCAGGGTGTGGCCAGCCCAGACGCGGGCCTCCCTGGTGACACCCTCCTGCCTTGGCACCCTTGGCAGCTGCCCGTGGAGTTCCTGATGCTGCTCACCGTCCCCGTCGTGGACCCTGACAAGGAGGACGGGAACTGGAAACGGCCCCTCAACTGCCTGCACCTGGTCATCAGCCCGCTGGTCTTGGTCCTGACCCTGCAGTCGGGGGCCTGTGAGTGTCCCCTCCCCTCCCCCCGCCATTCCAGAGTTTTCTTCTCAACCGCACCACGGGGGCCCTGGCGGCAGAATCCCGGGCATCCAGCAGACACTTCATAGACGCTTGTGCCGTAAAGGGACACCAGCGTCCCACACTCAGCTGGTGGCTGCAAACTGGTGGCCTCGGACCACCGGTCCAGCCCTCTGCTCGTTTGCCTGCGTTAAAACATGGGGAGATTTCACGTGAGAACCCAGGTCTGGCGCTCCGGAAGGCAGAACTGGCTGGCGCTGAGAAGGGCGTCCCCCCGTCGGTCCACAGCAGGACAGTCCCCTCCCTTGCCTCTCGGGGGACCCGGCTGGGGCATTGGAGTTTTCTCTGTCCACTCCAGGCTGTCCTTGCCCTTTCTGACCTGCTCTGGCTCCAGAAATGCTCACGCATTTCTTCCTGTTGTCCGCCTTTAGTATCTTATGCTGCCCGTGCCTCTCTGTCCCCTGGGCATCACCGGGAGGCGGAGGAGGTAGGGCGCTGGGGGCAAATGCATGGCTGGGCGTGGCGTTTTTTTGCTCTAACAGGGTCAGCGAATTCCCTGTGGGTCCCCTCCCGGATTTATGGGGTGGGGGGGACACTGTGCAAGAGCCCACCAGGGCTCAGTGTGACCCCAGAGCTGAGAAGGGCAGCCTTTAGGGGTACCAGCTGTCTGGTTCGTCAGTCTTCTGTTCCCTGTTGAGCCTCCCGGGCCAGGGCACTGCCAGGGACTCGCTTTCTTCTCTGGGGCTTCTTAAAAGAGTGGACCCCAAGCATCAGTCGTTCACGAGCCAGCTTCTTGATTTTTCTCCCATCGTATACTATGCCATTTGACCTTTTTCTTGAATCAGCTGTTTTTATTTTTTATTTATTTTTTTATAAAGATTTTATTTATTTATTTGAGAGAGAGAGCACAAGTAGGCAGAGCAGTAGATAGAAGGAGAGGGAGAAGCAGACTCCCCGCTGAGCAGGGAGCCCGATGCGGGACTCGATCCCGGGACTCCAGGATCATGACCTGAGCCGAAGGCAGTCGCTTAACCAACTGAGCCACCCAGGCGCCCTGAATCAGCTGTTTTTAAATTTAAAGTTATTGAAAAGGAAACAATATCACCTGCACCCATAGGAAACTGGCTTCACTGCCAGTGAGTTCAAGGTAACTGCAAAGAGAAAGACAATAAACATAAAGCCTCGGAGCCCGGAGGCTCTGTTCCACAGGCCGTGTAGCAGGGGTTAGAGACGTTACAGACCTATTCGCACCACGGAGACTCTCTGCGGAGGAGAAATCGGTCGCCTGAGATGTGATTCTGGCTTGGTGTAGTGTCTTGTCCACATACCAGCACCAACTGGTGATAGCAGGTCCACACTGGGGAAATACTGGTTCAGGCGAAAGCATTTATGACCCCCTTCTGGGCTGAGCCCTGGACTCGTCTCCCTGCGGGAGGGGTGTCTTGTCTGCCAGCAGAGCCTCCCAGCCTCCTCCCTCTCAGACAACCCCAGAGCCATCTTACTAAAGTGCTGCCTTTCCTGTGTTACAGTCACTCCTCCACTCAAAGACCTCCATGGCTCCCCAGTACCTCTTGGTCCAAGCCCACACTGCCCTGGCCATCCATAAGGCAGCCGCGTTCCCTGGTCTCTTCTGCTCTTGCCGGCATCCACCTGCTTGGTTCCTTCCCACCCAGCTGTCCCCTCTCCCCCTGTGGCCCTTGTACCCTCTGTCTGCTTATGCCTCATCGTACATCCTCAGCACTCGAAGAAGCCCTTCCTGACCACCCCACACCGCAGCCACCTCCTAAAATTCCCCCAGAACAGACCTGGCAAACACAGAGAAAGGGTCCCCCCTCGCTCAGGTGTCAGGTGCCAAAGCTGGAGCTAGCAGTGAGAACCGAGTTCAGTCAAAATTACCTCCTGAGATTCACGCACAGGTATTGTGGCCACGATTTTGTGTATCAGCTCCCTTGTGTAATTCTTGTGCCGACGGACATTGGAGAGCCAATTAACCAGACTGAAGGAGAACAAGAGGAAAGTCCTGATGCAGGTGTCTGGGCAGCCAAATCATCCGTTGCCTTTGAGACCAGTACTGACTCCCTGGTGGTGGAAAGGGTTGTGTGTGGAGAATTCTAGAGTGTGCCGTCTGCCTGTAGGGTTTCCCTCTTTTCATGTTTCGATGTGAAGGCCCTGGAGCTTTCATAACTTTTTTTAAAGGATTTATTTATTTAGGGGCGCCTGGGTGGCTCAGTCTGTTAAGCGTCTGCCTTCGGCTCAGGTCATGGTCCCGGGGTCCCGGGGTCCTGGGATCGAGCCCCGCATCGGGCTCCCTGCTCAGCGGGGAGCCTGCTTCTCCCTCTCCCCCTCCCCCTGCTTGTGCTCTCTCTCTCTCGCTGTGTCTGTCTCTGTCAAATAAATAAATAAAATCTTTAAAAAAAAGATTTATTTATTTATTATTTTAGAGAGAGAGAGTGGGGGTGGGGGGAGTGAGGGGCAGACGGAGAGGGAGCCAGAGAATCTCAGACTCCCCGCTGAGCAGGGAGCCCCACGCAGGACTTGATCCCATGACCGTGAGATCATGACCTGAGCTGAAATCAAGAGTTGGATGCTTAACCAACTGAGCCACCCAGGCACCCCTGGAACTTTCATGACTTCGAATGGGTTGGTTTGTGGAGTGGACTTATCAAGAGGGCAGGTGCTGGGCTCCAGGACCAGTGGGTAAGGGTTGGGTTCGACTGGTTCATTCAGTGGAGTGATGCCCATCCATTGGCAATGCCTGGCTGGAGGGTGCTGCCTTGCTGGGCTCCAGGACCAGTGGGTAAGGGTTGGGTTCGACTGGTTCATTCAGTGGAGTGATGCCCATCCATTGGCAATGCCTGGCTGGAGGGTGCTGCCTTGCTGGGCTCCAGGACCAGTGGGTAAGGGTTGGGTTCGACTGGTTCATTCAGTGGAGTGATGCCCATCCATTGGCAATGCCTGGCTGGAGGGTGCTGCCTTGCTGGGCTCCAGGACCAGTGGGTAAGGGTTGGGTTCGACTGGTTCATTTAGTGGAATGATGCCCATCCATTGGCAATGCCTGGCTGGAGGGTGCTGCCTTGAAGTTCAGTTGGAAGAAGCATCAGCATGATGGTTGATTAGTGATGTCTGCCACAGGCATGGGCAAGGACAGCCATTCCTATCCCGGTCTCCTAGCAGAAGGCTGGGGAGAGTCTGTCTTTCACATTGTCTGCCTTCTTTCCAGTGTGGCTAGCTTGAGGGTGAGGGCTCTGTCTTTAATTTCTCTGTGCCCCTGAAGTGTCTGGGTCGGCGCTGGGGACGCTGTATGTTCAAACAATCGAGTGTAAGTGAGTTTTATCCCTGGGTCCCTCCCCCAGGCCCTCCCACTCATTCTGGGGAAGGGCTGTGCCCTCCAGGAGCAGGGGCCGAGCTGAAGCAGTGGAGAGAGTCCCACCCCCCTTTCTTGCCCCTCCGCAGATGGCGTCTATGACATAGGTGGCCTGGTTCCTGTCTGGGCCATCGTGGTGATTGCGGGGACAGCCGTGGCTGCGGTGACCTTTTTTGCCACATCCAACAGCGAGCCCCCCAGGCTTCACTGGGTAAGAATCCCCAGCACTCCAAGGCGGGGCAAGGGGACACTGGAATCTCCCAGGAGGGTGTCCTGCTCGTGCCCCTGGGGCAGATAGGCCAGGAATCACTTTCCATAATGACAGGTCTTTAAAGCCACTTTGGATGATAGTTTTGTTCCTTTTCGAGGTTTTTTTGTTTTTGTTTTTTTGGGGTTTTTGTTTGTTTGTTTGTTTTGGTAACAGCTTTATTTTATTGAGATGTAATTCCCATACCATACAATTCGCCTATTTAAAGTGTGGGATTCAGTGGTTTTTATTATATTCACCGAGTTTTGCCCCTATCAGCACTGTGAGTCTTAGAGCATGTCAAGACCCACACCCAGGAGCAGTCGCTCCCCTCCCTTCTCTCCCCCCCCAGCCCCGGCCCCCACCAGTCTGCGTCCTGTGCCTGTGGAGTTGCCTAAGTTTTGGACTTCTCACGGAAATGGGACCCTATGCTATGTGGTCTTTTGCGAGTTGGCATCCTGTTTTCAAGGTCGTTCCATGCATTAGCCGGGGATTAGGGATAGCTGAACACCATCCATGATGCGGATGCGGCACGTTTTGTTTATCTGTTCATCACCGATGGGCACGGGTTGTCCCTGCTTTGGGGATATTAACAAGGAACGTGGCTGTGATGTTTGTGTAAACACGTGGGTCTGGAAATAGGCTTTCATTTCTCTTGGGTGCATTCCTGGGTGAAACTGCGGGGGCAGACGTTATGTTTCACTTTTTGAGCAATTACCAGGCTCTCTCCTGCTCACCCTCGGGGAAGCACCTGCGTGTCTCCCAGCCGCATTCCAGGGATGGAATTGTCTGATGTGTGTGGGTTTTTTGGTTTTTTTTCTTCCCCATTCTCTCCACCCTGCAGCACGCTGAGGAATTTTTAGGCAGTTTGTTCAGAATGTACTCTTCAAAGTGCACTTAAAAGTTTAATTTCTTTTTACTATTTATTGATAAAAAAAATACAGGTTTTATTTTGAGAAACTCTTGAGTGTGTCAATCCAAAGCAGGTCGAATTTTCGACCAATTGATGACTTAGAGAAATAGTGTTCAGCCAGTGTTTTTACTGGGTTTTGAAGTACCTCACATACTCCTACGTGGATGTCCCTCAAAGACACAGCGCCCAGCGAGAGAGACCAGTTGTGAAGGACCACGTGTGGCGTGAGGCCCTGTAATGACGTGTCTCGAACAGACAGGAAGCAGAGTAGTGGAGGCCCGGGGCTGGAGGAAGGCTGCATGGGATGGGGACTCACTGCTAATGGGCATGGAGTTTCTTTTTCTGGAATCATGGGACAGCATTTGGTCCCAAGCCTGGAAGCTGAAGGAAGCTTCCTGAACTCTTTCCTGACAAAAGAGTAATACTGAGCTAACATTTTAGGGAGAACTTGCTATGTGCCAAGCACTAACTGCTCTGAATCTATTAACTCATTTATGCTCATGACAGTCTCAGGGGGTGGGTACTGTGATCATCCCATTTTGCAGATGAGGAACTGAGACCATGGCCCCGTTGGGGACCGTATCCCTGTTGGGGACTGGCCTTGGTCCCATCAACACCCATTCCCTCCCCAGCTCTTTGCTTTCCTGGGCTTCCTGACCAGCGCCCTGTGGATCAACGCAGCGGCCACGGAGGTGGTGAACATCTTGCGGTCCCTGGGAGTGGTCTTCCGGCTGAGCAACACTGTCCTGGGGCTCACGCTGCTGGCCTGGGGGAATAGCATTGGAGGTGACTCGGGGTCGGCTGGGGTTCCGGGATGAGTGCAGCCATGTCACTGCCGGAGTGCACGTGAGCAGGGGCATCTAGGGCACCTGCCCTCAGCATGTGCTCAGGCCCTCTTGTTTTGGAATGACCATAACTGGGCATCGGGATGAGGTGGCCTGGATTGTACCTGGGCCAGGAGACTAGAGAAGCCCCAGCCTCTTCCCCACTCTCTGCTCCCCAGAGTTCAGGCAGGACATGGAGCCCATTGCAGCCAACCATGCTGAATGTGTACATGGCTGTGTGACATGCAGGCATTCACACATGCATACATATACCCTTCTCTAACATAGCTGCCAGGTAGGGTTGGCTAAGTTGTGCACTGCACAAGAACATCCAAACAGGGAGTCAGGGGGGCTGAAATCTAGCTCTCCTTCCACTCACCTTTTGGGCACCTTTTCCGAATTTGCATAAAGGTGCTATGCGTGCTAGCAGTAATAGTGTGTCACATCCCCAGAGTTGCCCGTGGTGGGAAAGAATGGGGTAGAAAGAACCAAGGAGGGAATTGTGTCCTGGGATGTGTCATGGGCGTGGGATGCCCAGCTAGGTAGTGCAAGGCCCAGATGGGCATTCGTCAGTGTGTGTGTTGACTGAATGACTCTGGGTAACGATAAGGAGTGAATGACCAAAGAGGGCCAGGGGGAGCCACTCACCATTCAAGGCGGTCTCTCGTTTCCATGCAGATGCCTTCTCAGATTTCACGCTGGCCCGCCAGGGCTACCCACGGATGGCATTCTCAGCCTGTTTCGGCGGCATCATCTTGAGTATCCTTTGTGGGGCTGCCTTCCCCGTGGCACGGGCTCCGAGGGCCATGGGTGTGCTCCGTGCCCCACTCCTGGGCTTGGCCCTTCCTGGGACACTGGGGGCAGGAGACACAGCTGCCGGGGCCTCAGCTTCCTCATCTGTAAAATGGGGATGTTGAGAGGACCGACCTCAGGTGGGTCATTGTAAGGACTGAACGAGGTGACAGAAATGCGTGGCGCGGGGCAAGCACTCAGTGGATGGCAGATATTACTATGAGGGCAGTGGTGGTAGACGCCCCCATGCTGAGCTTACCTGTGCCCCGTGGAAGAGCCTCTTCCTCTTGCTTACAGGTGTCATGGTCCAAAGATGTTAGGGGTTGGTGAGCTTTTTCTGAAAGGGCCAGAGAGTAAACATTTTGGCCTTCGTGGGCCTTACCAACCTCTTTGGCAACTACTTGACTCTGCTGTCGTAGTGTGAGACCAGCCAGAGGCAATACAGAAATGAGTGGGCGTGGCTCTGTTCCAATAAAACTTTATTTATAAAAGCAGACAGTGGGCCAGATGGGGCTGCAGGCTGTAACTTGTAACAAGCAAGCAGCCTGGGGCTGGGAGAAGAAAGGGCTTCGAAAGCAGCTGGTCCTGGGCCCCAGTTCCAGCGCCACCACGTGCCAGCTGTGGGACCTCGGGGCTTTGCACACATCTTACTCTCTGCACTGTGGCCATCTCTGCGCATTCAGAACGGGTTGGGGTGAGGATGGACGATGGGGCACAGCACCCAGGACGGTGCCTGGCTCGGGCTGTGTGCCCAACCAACAGGACATGCTGTTGGTTGTGAAATGAAGTCGTATTATTTGCAAGCACTTGGAGGGTAGCTGTCCCCAGGCTCCACCACGAAAGTGCCCGTGGGCTGAGCCCAGTGCCCGGGCTGCACAGCACAGCGAGAATGGGCAGGGCCCGGGAGGCGTGCCTGCCGTGTGTCCCCCCCCGCTGGACAGGGCTTTCTGGGGCCCTTTGCACCCACTGAGACCTGCTCCCGGCTTTCGGGCTGTGGCCTCCCCTGATCCCTCAGGCTGCTGTGGGAAGGAAAGAGCCCTGCCTGGAGCAGGGTCCCCTGAACAACACCTAGAGATGGCCTTGACCTGTGCTCCGTCACTAGCCCCCCAGAGGACGGTGGGTCGTCACCTCGCCCAGCCGCAGGGAAGCCAAGTGCTTAACCGCGTACCAAGCACTTCTGTCCCCTCGTTCCCCGCTTACAGATCGGGTGCAGAATGCACACTAGACACTCACCTTCCTAAAAGGGCCAACACTGGGTAGGATCCCCTCAGAGAGGGTGTTTTGGGGGTGGGGTGCAGAGACCATAAGGAAAGCTGACGGGCATGCAGTTGGGGTGGGGAGGGGGGCCGTTGTTCCAGCAAACTTCCTGAGCTGGGCCACAGATCTGCTGGTGGGAGTGGGGCTGGGCTGCCTGCTTCAGATCTCCAGGAGCCACGCGGCGGAGGTGAAGGTGAGCGGCCAGACACTTCTGCAAGGGGCCCCTTCTCATGCGGTCCCCCCGGTGGGAGAGCGGTCACATCTCAGTGGCGCATGCTTGCTGGGGAGGGGCGTTGTCTGAATTTGTGACAAGCCTGATTTGTAGAATTTTTTTTTTTTTTTTTAGAGATTTTATTTATTTGAGAGGGAGAGAGTGAGAGACAGCAGGAGAGGGGAGAGGGTCAGAGGGAGAAGCAGCCTCCCCACTGAGCGGGGAGCCCGATGCGGAACTCGATCCCGGGACTCCAGGATCGTGACCTGAGCCGAAGGCAGTCGCTTAACCAACTGAGCCACCCAGGCGCCCTGATTTGTAGAATGTTTTAAAAATATCTTGGATAGAGGGTTGAAAAAAACGTATTCCTTACAAGTTCACAGAGTAACTAGGATGTCGCTTCGGGGAAGGGGCAGGAAGGCCCTGGCTTTAGGTAATGGTCCCCCATCACGTAAGTCTCTTGCTATGTGACTGTGGGTGAGATAGGACATCTCTGAGCCTCAGTCTCCTTGCCTGTGAAGTGGGGTTGATGGTCACCCCCCAAGCTTCCCGGGTAGCATGCACAAGGTAAGGGCCAGACCGAACACCTTATCCCAGCACTGCCCACAGAGGACAGACCAGGATGGGGGACTAAGACAGCCCCTGCAGGCGGGAGCCTGGCAGATTTGGAGAAGGTTCTGAGACACCTCGAGTGGAGGTTCTCATGTTTCCAGGATGCCCAAGAATTTCCTGGGGGTGCATGAGACCTCCGGTCCCAGGCATTCCAGGGGGTGGGGCCTGGAAACCTGCATTTTAAAATAAGCTCCCTGGGGACTGATGAAGGTAGGTCGCTTCAGAAAGCCTGTTCTAACAAAGGTTGAAAACCCCAACACTTGCCGGGACTGGGAAGGTAACCGAAACGTGTAGGTGACTCAGGTGGGCCTCATGTGGCCAGATAGTCCAGATTTTCTAGAAGAGAAATCAGGATTCCTAGGAGAACTCTTGCTAGTCTCAAATACTGCACTGCGTTGTGCATCGGGCATCTCTATTTTGAAGGACCTGAATTCAGAGACCAAACAAGAGAAGGATTATGATGGGGTTGGGGAGGGGGACATGGTCTCGGAGGATGGTTTGCAGGCTCCCCCCCCCCCCGCAAGAGCACTTGGGGTCCTGTGAGGCTGAAAGATGGTGATATTAATGGGAACAGTCACCCACTCTCTCTTGGCTCTCGACGGTGACAGTGGTGACGATGGTGGGACTTGTGGCTGGCTTTTGGCAGTGGCCACGCCCACAAGCAAATAGCTACTTACTGCTTGGAAAGTTTGCTTTGCTTTCCTCTAAATAGACGATCCTTTTTTTTTTTTTTTGAGGGGGGAGGGGCAAAAGGAGAGGGAGAGAGAGAATCTTAAGCAGGGGCTCGATCTCACAACCCTGAGATCTTGACCTGAGCTGAAGTCCAGAGTCAAGAGTCGGGTGCTTCACCGACTGAGCCACCCAGGCACCCAGGCAAGTTTGCTTTTTTTTTTTTTTTTTAAAGATTTTATTTATTTGACAGAGAGAGGCACAGCGAGAGAGGGAACACAAGCAGGGGGAGGGGAGAGGGAGAAGCAGGTTTCCCGCAGAGCAGGGAGCCCGATGCGGGGCTCCATCCCAGGACCCTGGGATCATGACCCGAGCCGAAGGCAGACGCTTAATGACTGAGCCACCCAGGCGCCCCGCAAGTTTGCTTTTCTAAAAGGTGAAGACCATCTGCAAATTTTGTTCATGGGTTTCATGGGTTGCTTTCCTTATCAGTTCCCAGGCCGTTGCAGATAATGAGGCTTTAGGGTTGGCTCTCTTTCTTCCTTTCTCTTGCTCTTTGTGGAGCTCGCGGTGTGGATCTGCATCCCGCTGCCTTTGTACTGAGTTGACGAAATGCTCCCGCTGTAAATTAAGACGCAGGGCATCAGGGCAGGTCCTCGGGGAAGGATGGCCGTGGGTTGTGCGGGGTGGAAAACACAGGTTGTTCTCAAACGCTACGTAGTGCGCAATTCCATTTCTGGTTTCAGAATCGCTGTGCAGGTCTGGTGTGTGTGTGTGTGCACCCCCACATGTGTGTGCAGATGCGTCACTGTGGGGAGGCAGGATAGGGTATCCTTCAGAGCTCGGACGTCGATCTGGGCTCTGTCCCTCCCTCATTAGTTTGCTCGTCCGTGCGTTGGGGGTAATGGCCCTCCCCCCCCCCCCAGGCGGTTGGGAAGATGAGAGGCTGGATGGTGCGGGTAACACGCCCAGCACACCGCCCAGTGTGCGGTTAGACAAACGCTGGGTCTGGAAGGAAGGGGGGTGGGGAGAGGACACCTTCACTTCTCGTTACTCTTCTGTGTGGCCGGCTTGAGAAGTTCTCAGCATCTGCCTGGAGCGTGTGTATGTATGTAACCGCCTGTATGAGCGTCCTAGGGCGGCCACGACAGATGACCCCAAGTCAGGGTGCTCAAAGCAGGAAACTTCACGGTGGGGCGTGGCCAAGGGGGCCAGAAGTCCTGCCCTGGCCCCCAGCGAGGGGCGGGCGACTGGTGGCTGCAGTGACCGGGCCTCTCCCCACCCCCGTTGCCCCCACAGCTGGAGCCAGACGGACTGTTGGTGTGGGTCTTGGCCGGCGCCCTGGGCCTCAGCCTCGTCTGCTCCCTGGTCTCGGTCCCACTGCAGTGCTTCCGGCTGAACAAAGTCTACGGCTTCTGCCTGCTCCTCTTCTACGTGAACTTCCTCGTGGTGGCCCTGCTGACGGAATTTGGGGTGATTCACTTGAGAAGTGCGTGAGTGATGCCACGTGTCCGGGCCGCCTGGTGGCCGCGAGGTGTGACTGCAGGCGGCGAGAGGGACGTCTGGCCTGGGTGGCTGGGGCGGCGGGGACCGCTGCCTCTGCTGGAGGTTCCTGGCTGCCGCCTGTGCAGGGAGAACAGCTAGGCCTTGTTTCTGGGACATCGGAGACCTGGCTGTGTTGCGCACAGAGCTGCGGACAGAAGGTAGAGCTCCTTGGATTATCCGTGAGCCTCCTGGGGGCTGAGCGCCTTCCGGCCGGTGTCGCCGCAGCAGCGGAGTCTTCTAGGGCCGTAGTCATGCCCTGCTGCCCTCCTGCATCTTCTCCTGAGGGCTCACTCACGCTGCTGCCAAACCGGGGCTTCGGGTGTCAGGGCGACTCAGATGGCGGGCAGCGCACAGTGGGCGTCCGGCCATCCCGGGCTGCGTCCTAGAGCTGCTCCGTCCGACGGAAATGGGACGTGAGACGCACACCGAATTGTGAAATTTCCAGTCGCCCCGTTAATACAAGCCAAAGGAAACGGGCCCTATATTATAGGTGTTACTCAGTGGCTCCGAAATAGCAGCGATGGCGCCGGCCCCGCCATGGCCGCCATATTGGACGGCGCAGCTCTGGCCTCTGCCTCCCGACTCTCCGCTGGCTGTTGGCAGACGCCCCTGTGCCCTGAGCCTCGGGCTTCCCTAGCTGTGAAGCGGGCACCCGCCGGACTGTGCCCTGTCCTACCTCGGGGGGAGCCCAGGGCCGGGGTTCCAATTCCTGGAAGCTCCAGGGAGGACGGGGAGAGTGCTCCCCAGTGCCTTCCTGCTGTCAGCTACGGACCTGCCTTTTCTTTTCCTTTTTTTTTTTTTAAAGATTTTATTTATTTATATGACAGAGAGAGACAGCGAGAACAGGAACACAAGCAGGGGGAGTGGGAGCGGGAGAAGCAGGCTTCCCACCGAGCAGGGAGCCCGCTGCGGGACTCGATCCCGGGACTCCAGGATCATGACCCGAGCCGAAGGCAGACGCTCAACGACTGAGCCACCCAGGCGCCCCCGGACCTGCCTTTTCAAGGAGCAACCGTTCAGTTTGCCCAACTGCCTTCTGTCAGCAGCTGCAGCAAAGCAGTTTGACAGTCTTTTTTTCCCCCAGTGAAAGAAAATGATTAAATATTTCAAGCGTACAGAAGGCAGCACGCCCATCTTTCACCGGTTCTTCCTTACCTGGGCCAGGTGAGGAGGGGCTGGTTCCAAGGCCAAAGGTTTGGGCCTGAGGTGGGGTCAGGAACAACCACGGCTGGGACCTGCCCCTTTCCCCCGCGGTGCCGGAAGCCATAGGACGTCACTTGGTGGAAGTCACGAGGCGGCAGCCATGTTTACAAAGCAAAGGCTTTTTTATTAATATGCCGGAAATCTGGAGACACAGTGGGTTTTCCAGGTTAACAAATCACCAATGTACAAAACCTTACAGCGTTGCTCCCTCTATCCATACAAAATGATTGTCACATGGTGCGGAGTAAGGCTGGGTTGGGGGAGGGAAGCGAGGAGGAGGGGCCAGCTGGCGTCCCCCCCACCCCCAAAGCGGGGCGGGGGTACAATGCCATCATGGCCAAGGGCAGGTTGGTAAGGTTGACCTTGGTTTCATTCGGCTAGGACATGGGTGGTGAGAGGGCATCTGAGCTGGATGATGTCCCAGGTCCCTCAGATCTCACAGGCCTGGGTGACCCCGAGGGGCCAGCTTGTCCTTAGCCTCAATGACAAGGGTGCCCTCTCCTGACCGGGGTCTGGCCCGCAGCAGGATTGCCGCTGCATTCCTCCCACCTAGCCAGAACCAGGGCCTTTCTCAGAGGACAGGGCTGGAGGGAGGACTAGATCTGACCCGTCCTGGTACCACCGCCACACCAGGGGCCTCAACTACCCTGTCGTCCCTCCCTGGTTCACCAGGGGAAGGGACTAGAATGAGGCTCAAACACTCAGGGCAGAGGGCCTATCCTCCTTTGAAAGCTGTCCCTTGACTCCTGATTCCAGAATACCCATTTCAACACACAAATGCTAAAAGGCACCCAATTGTGCAAATAAATAAAAGTTCCTTCTCCGGAGAGGGCAAAGGGTTCTGGCCTGGGCTCGGTGCAGCAGGGCTGCGGGCGTCCAGAGACAGAGGACAAGGCCAGTCTCCTGATGCCCCGTGGGGATCTCCCTGGTTCACTGTTTCCCCAAAGGGCTGTGCTTTAAAAACAGAAACAAACGTCCACCGCTTCTCCCCTGGTGAGGGGCACAGCTGTACTATACTGGCTCTAGAATCAGCCCCTCCAGGGCCGCCCTCGAGAAGCCTTGGCCTTGGGGATGGCGGGGGAGAGGCGGTGGGGGATCCCAGCATGGCTCCCCTGGGATCAGGCCATACCCTGCTAGGAGGAGGGCGTGGCAGGGGGAAACTTCTGCCCACCCACCTTCCCGTCCTGGGAGGCAGTGGAGGCATCTGGAAAGCTGGGGTCAGAGCAGGATGCCCAGCAGGGGCTGCTTCCCCTGCCCCCTGCCGACCCTTTTCATCCCACCGCCTCCTGCACCGTGCTCGGTTTGCAGCCCAGCAGAGCTGAACCAGAGCTCCCTCTGTTCTGACCCTGCTGCTCCTGCCAACGCCAACAGCGCTCACTGGGGCTGCCAACCCCAACGCCTGCTCTGGATTCAAGCACTGGTCCTACCCCAACCCTGCTGATCTCAGGAGAACCCCCACAAGATATAGGGGGGACTCGGTTAACTGAGGGCTCACCTGAACCTAGCTGTGCCAGTGAAGAACCCTGGGGCAAGCCAGGTCCCCATTCTGGCCTCAGTGGAGTCCACGGAGGGGACTGCTCAAGGTGGGTTCGTGGTGGTGGGGGGGAGCTGTCCCAGTGGACAGGCAGGGGCTCAGCCGCAGGCCTGCCGTGGACCTCCCACAGTGAGCGTTTGCTCCGTGCACCCCTTCCCAGCAGCAGAACCTAATGCACAATGTGAAGGATCTGCCATTGTCTTTAGCAGAATTCTGTAACCAAGATGTCTCTGCCGGAACAAGATAATCACAAGGAAAAGGGTTCTAGTGGCAAAAGCCCGTCTCAGGAATGGGTCGGGCAGCCATCAGCCCGGCCCTCTTGCTTGCTTTCCTCCATCTGAGAGTCTAAAGGAGGCCATTTTAGAAGGATCTGCAGCAACGAGGGTTAAACCAAAGGAAGTGTGGGAGAGAAGGCTTACAGAGCCAGGATGTGAAATTCGCGCAATCACGCGCAATCTCACGCTGCCCAGAACTGGCTGAGATCCAACCGCATGGGCATGATCACACCCCTTGAGTACTCTATCCATTAGGTCCTAGGGACTGGTCCCCCGAGGAAATGTTCTATTATATTATCATATATATAGAAATACTAACCCACATCCTAAGTGGTTTTGTCCCTAAAGCAGGCCAGACACCCCGTGACGCGGGCCGCAGGGAAAGTTAGTGGGGAAGCGGTCAGCTGGGATGTGGGTGTGAGTGCAGCCTTGGGAAGACGGTGTGGATCTGGCCTAGGGAGGGCTGGCCCACTTTGAAGGCGAGCCCTGCAGAGATCGGCAGGATCTATCCAAGTGGTCTTTTTCTGAAGAGGCCTTCTGGAACTTTCCACGTTAGGCAGAGCTCACGGCGGCCTGACCCCCCCCAAACCAGAGTGACCTCTGGGGTTAAAAACAGGGCAGGGTGGTTACACACCAAACCCCATCTTGTCTTTTACTCTTCGTATATATAAATATGTGCATATATATGAATGCATGTGCGTGCACACACACACACGCATTTTTTTTCAATATGTCGTAGTAAAATAATACTATTGTGTTATTGCATAGAAGAGATGGCTGTCGCGCTGGGGCTAGGTGACGGTCTGGGAGCGCTGGCGGCCGCCTGGGAGCTGCTGGGTGGTGGGGACCTGGCCGCTGCCGATGAGCTGTCCCTGCCGCTCCTCTTGCTCGCGGGCGTGCTCCTCGTACCACTCCTAGAGCAGAGTGCAGACGGGGCGCTGAGCGGGCGGCACCCCTCCCAGCCAGCCCCGCACCTGCCGCAGCCCGAAGAGCCCCCACCCCACCCTGCCCTGGGGCACACAGCGGGCAGCGGGAGCCAGCCTCACTCAGGATACCCCTGGGCCTGCTGGGAATTCTGCATGTGGCCCAAACAGAAAAAAATTACTGTGAAATCTTTCCCTTGTTAGAGGTTTGCAAGCCTCCTTATAAATATTCTCCTTGGCACATATCATCTCTTTAAGCGAGGCCCAGGTAGTCATAATCATTCTCTGTTTGATTGTGAACATAATCTTTTGTCCTTCACAAAGGGATTCCCCGGTGTTATCCCTTTCGAGCGTGGCAGGAACCGTGTCCTCATGGACACCTGAGAAAACGAGGCTTAGAAGTTGTACGAAGCTGGATGAAGTTGAGAGCCTCTCCTAACTCCCATGTTGCTTTTGCTCCCCTCCAATAAGGCTGTGAGAGCATTTTGCAAAAAAAAACGTAACCCACCAAAGACCCATAATGTTTTGTCATCTGACATTTTCAGAGACAGGTGATTGAGGAATTAGAAAAGCTACCGTAGGTGTTTAAAGAATCTGAGCCACAGAACTTGAGAGCTTAAACAAGACTGAGATGGCCTTCTTTCTGTGCCCCCTCACTGTACAGAGGGGGACGCTGAGGCTGGGAGTGGGCAGAGGACAGAGGACAGCAGCAGAGTGCATGCCCACGTTGGAGCCAGAGACTGTCCCCCTTTCACAGGTGTGAACAGACTGAGGGACGTGCCCAAGGTCACAGAGCCAGCAATCAAACCCAGGTCTCACGATGCCGAAGTTCGTGTGAGTTTCACATCTCTGCGGCCCCAGTTTCACGAACCACTATGTGTCCACAGCCCTTGTGTTCTCACAGAGAATGTGAGTCAGCTTGGCGTGCTGCAGCCTCCCTGCCTTCTGGGCGAGGACACTGGTCATCACTCTCCCAGTGAAAACAGAGGGTTTCTGGCTGTTAGGATGCCAGACACAGCAGAGTCCGATGGGTGGCGTGGGAGACTCTCCCCTGAGCCCTGGGACCTGGAGGCTGAACGGAAGACCCAAAGCACAGCTCATGTGCTGGTGGCCTGTGCTCTGTGGGTTCTGTCTGGAATGCAAGGTGTCAGCCCACATGGTGCTTTGCAAGATTGTTTACCTAGCTCCCAATGTGGAAAGACAGGGAGGTTTTACTTAAAAAAAAAAAAAAAAAAAAAATTTGACTTCTCCCTTCTCTTAAATTAGAACCACCACAAAAAACCCTCAAACAGCCCAAACACCCAAGGGATCCAAGGCCCCAGGAGAACCTGATGGCCCCGAGAGGAGGCTGCCTTCTCTGACGAGCCCGGCCCTTGCCAGCTCTCCGGGGCCTGCACCCCCCTCTTGCCCATGACGTCTCCTGCTGTACACACCGCAGTTGCGGCTCTGGCTCAGAGTCAGAAATCGGGATAGGTTCTGGAGAATGCTCAAGCGGGAGGGCCGTATGGGAGAGCTGCTGGTGTTGGGGAAGGGCCAAGGGTTCACGGCCGAGCCCGAGCCCTGCCCAGCGCTGCGTCCCAGACACCACTGGCGGCGGCCCAACAGATGGCCCCGATCCCCGCACTGCGCCTCCTGACTCCACACTCAGGGTAGGGACAGGACGGTAGCCCCCGCTCCGCAGCAGGGAGGCCCACCCCCAGGCAGGAGCTGGGGGTGAGGGTCTAGGCAGCGGAGGCAGGGGCACGCCTACCTGAATCTCTTCTTGGTACATCTTTAGGCTCAGGTCACTTTTGGTCCTTGATCTCCGTCCCAGAAACACCACGGTGTTTTGCTAAGAAAGAGCGGAGGCTTAGGATCGGTCCAAGCGGTGCCCTGCCTCAGCTGGCTTGAGGGGATGACAGTGGGGGAGGCCCTCCACTAAGCCGAAACCTGTCCCCTCCATCGGAGGCGGCCCCGAGGCTCCTCACCTCATGTCTCTCCATCTGGGAGAGGACCTTGAGCAGCCGGGCGACGTCCGAGGTGGCTCCTCGCACCTCTCGGTAGAGCTCCAGGACAGCAACCAGCTCATCTTTGGAGATTTCCTTCTCGAGGGTGATGCCACCATCAACTATAGAGGGGAGGCCAGGGCTGGGAAGGAGCCTGGGGCTCAGAGCCCCCCGATCTGGCTTGGTCTGGTGCAGCCCTCCTCCCTGCGGCCCCAGCGGGCGTCCTAAGGTTCCCTCCGAGCAAACCCGCATCAGCACGACGCGCCCCCCACCTCCTGCCATCTGGCACGCATGTCCCCTCCCCTCCCTTTGCTGTGGGCGCCGGGGGCACTGGTTGGGCCAGCAGCTTATAGGGGACAGAGGGTTTCGGCAGGGAGTCTCTGAGCCAAAACGGTCAGATGGCCGGATAAGACAGAGATTTGGAAACAGGTATGTGGTGGCTCTGATGGAGAATCTGGAAGGATCAGCACACACAAAGCTCTGCACCTCGGAACAGGCAAGGCCATTATCCCAGCTGCAGTCATCCAGTTGCGGAAGGATGAACTACTGGTCCGACATTGACACCCTTTAGAACCACACTGTGACCATGTGATTTAGAGATTCGAAAAGGACAGCCAGCTATGGAGGACAAGTGTCTGGAGGCGTGGGAGGGCGGGGCAGAGGGCTGCTGTGTTCACAATAGGCCTTTCTCTGCTCTGCAATTCTTCTCATCTCGGACATGGACTATTTTTATTTTGAACATGAGATCGACAGCATTGTTCCGTCATTAAGTATTTGAAAAGCAATGCACACGAGAGAGGTAACAGATACACCAGACAGATATGCTGAACTGCCAGAAGCCTGGACAGCCAGACAGCGGGGCCGGACAGCCAGCCGACAGCTGGGCAGCCAGCCAGACGAGCAGCGGGAAGGCTCCGGCCACGGTTGCTTTTACACACCTTCCGAGTCCTGGTTCTTGCGGCTGTAGTTCATTCGGAAGACGAAGGCCTCGAGGATGAAGGCGACAATGATGGTCATCACCACCTGGCCAGGCGCAGAGAGCGGGAGGGCGGGCATGTGAGCCGCTGCGGGGCCCGCACCCAGCAGAGCCCGGTCAGATGCTGACGCCGGGTCCGGCCCCTCCTCCCCGGGCGGCCGCCCACCAGGCAGGGGAAGCTGGAGAGTCTGAGTGATGAAGGGCAGAGAGTGTGGCTGGGGACCTACCATGGTCACGATGTAAAAAGTCATGAAGTAGAGGCGGCTCCAGTGTGAGGTCTGAGAGGTGACACCTTCCTGGGGACACAGGGGGAGGCCAGTGAGTGGGCACCCGGGCAGGGCCAGGTCACTGTGCACTCAGGCCACTCCACGGTCCCCCGCATGCCCAGCTCTTTACAGACCCTGCCCAATCTGCCCGGGGGTGTGGCAGACACAGGAGGGGGCCCTCACTCCCAGGGCCTAAAAACTCCTCTGTGCTGCATGAGCCCTGGACGCTCCCCAGGGTGGCAGTGTTCAGGACTGACATGGGCGGTCTTTGTCCCAAGCAGGGGTGGAAGACTTGGAAGAATTTAAGGAATGGAAAACCAAACCCAACAACCCTTGCCACACTGTTTCTTGACAGCAGTGGAAGAAGGACAGAGACCCACAGGCTAACTGGCATCTCTGGGCCACTAGGGGATGTGGTGGGGGGGAGGCAGGGACAGAAGCAAGTCCAGCAAACGCAGAGGGCTGGCTCCTGGGGCCCATCTCGCACTGCAGGCTCTCTGCAGAACCCCAACCCTGTGTGACCCAGGCCCCCAACCCCGACAGGGAACAGAAGAGCGAGGCATCCCATCGGGGGCCGGGCAAGGCCAGCGCTGGTCTCAGAGGATGGTGGGAAGATGCCCCCAGGAGTTGACCGAGGTCCTTACCATAATGATGTACCAGTTGTTGACAACTGTGAGCTCGAACAAGGTCACTGCCAAAGGGAAGGGGGAATGAGGAGTGTTTCAATCAGACTCCCTTTTTCCAAGTCTGTTTCAAGTGGCCTCTCTCTGCCTATCCTGGGTACCACGCACCTAGATGGTGGCGTCCCCGTCTGCCAGCTTGGACTGTGTGTTCCAAGCGCCCACCCCGTAGGGAGTGCTGCCATCTTGGCCTGGCCCCCAGAGGGCATGCCTCCGCCTCGGCAGCCTGTGACCAACCAGGGCTGGGGGTGGGCCGTGGGTGTAGAGCTGGGATGCCATGAGGGGCTCCCCTTCCTCTTGAGCTGTGTCCTGCCCCGGCCCCAGCCTCTCCGTGGAACCCGAGCTGGGGGCTGGGGTGAGTGCAGGGCACTGTGGTGGGCTGGTGTGGCTGTCCCAGCCTGCAACTGTGGGGTTGTGACTGGGGGGGGTTCCCTAGCCTCAGGCTGTCCCCCTCCCAGCAGAGCATGAAGCACCTCTGTTCCCAGGAATGAAACCTGGTGGGGAGTGGGTGCTGGGATCTGGCCTGCACCCCTGCGGCAGGGCAAACCATGGACCCCACTGAGGCTCCAGAGGACTCGGGAAAGTGTCGCAAACAGCTCAGACTGGGGAGGCCTCTGACAGCTCTGCTAGGCCGCGTCTGGGGCCCGCGGTGACCAAGGCAGTGTACCCGGGGACTGTCCCGCCTGTGGCCTCTGCACTCACCGAAGCTGTTCAGGATGTTGTCAAAGTTATTGAGATAATAATAGCCTTCATCCACAACGGTCTTATTGCCCACGGTGTGATTGAGCCAGCGGTAGGCGTCAGCCACGGTGCTGGTACTGGCCAGGGAGACAGAGGGGCAGGGGGAAGGTCACAAGAAAATCGGTCACCTCGACAGAGGACAAAAGGCTTAAGCGAACAAGGCTCTGACCAGGGAGCCGCCGTCCTGGCCCAGCCCCCAGCTCGCTGGCCCATGTTCCTGGCTCAAGGGAGGCCCTCGGCTCCTCTCACTGGCTGGGCATTGCTGGGGACTCCTAGGCTTGCCTCCTGCTTATCTGCGTCCATCTGGCATTTCTCTGCTACCAGCGAAGCTGTCTCCCTCCCAGCTACCGGAGGGAGACGCTAGCAAGGGAGAGAAAGGCGGTGTCTCCCCTGGTTCTCCCCATCTGTGACCCCATGCGGGGGAGAGCTCCTTGCCGGGCTCGCCCCAGCACCAGGCGGGAATGCTCCGAAAGGCTGCCCCTGTTCTGAGAGCTTATTTGCGGCTTTCCTTCTAGTCCTTTCTGGCTGCTCTGTTAACATTCATGCTGACGTTTCTACCCGTCTGGTCCTCGGGCCCCCAGGGAACTTGTTCAGAGGGCAGAGTCCCGGGCCTCGGGCGGCTGCCCTGGTGGCTCTGGCCCACTGTGGACTTTGTGGCCAATGCTGTCGGCCTCTGGTTCTGAGCTCAGCCCAACACTCAAAATGGCTGCCAGCGTCTTTGGAAGGAGTTTGTGCTTGAGGCCTCAGGGGCTAAATTTTTGAAGAGAACACTGTGACTAGAGAATTAACACCAGAGCACACTGCTTTCGTCGTGGCGGCTTGGAGGAAGGGAGAGGTCACGGGAGCTTGTGCTCCCCACGCTCTACCCCTGTCCCCAAAGGCCTTCCTGTGGGTGACCATCGGCCTAATGCTGCCAGGCGGCCCGAGCTGATGTGTCTGCCGAGTCCCCACTGCCCCCAGACAAGTGGGAGGAAGCCATAGGACTCGGGCCTCAGGCCGCTCCTGGTTCAGGGGAGGCCTTCAGACCTCAGCCCAAAGGGCGAGGGGACGGAGGCCTGCTTGGGGACGGGGAAACCTGCTCAGATGTCCTCGCCTCAGAGACAGCCCTCTGATTCCAGGTCCCTCACTTAGCTATCGTACTCCACTAAGCCCTCGAAAGCAAAGCAAAGTGATTCCCGGGGCTTCGAAGGGTGCTGGGGCTTGGAGAGGTGTGTCCCTGCGGCCCCCGAGCCTGCCGGGGACCCGCTCAGCGGGGCTGGGGGCAGCGCGCCAGTCCTGGCTTGGTTCCTCTGGAAACACGGAGGGGGCAGGCAGGGCCGGGCCCCCGCTGTGTACTCACTTGCAGCAGTTGGGGTAGAGGATCCCACAGAAGAATTCCATGCCCACGATGGCGAAGGAGTAGTAAAAGATGAGCAGGGTGAGGCCGAGGCTGGGGAGGAGGGTCAGAAGGGACAGGGTGACTGGGGGCCAGGCAAGAGAGACCGACCGGCGCCTCCGGCAGCCCCAGCATCCTCAGACCCACTGCGCTGACTGATGGACAGGCATGCCCCTAGCCAGGTTTACCAACTGGAAAGTGCCTGCAGGGAAGGGGCCTTGTGATTCAGGTCTGGGGTCAAAAACGGCTCAAGTCAGGACTCTATTAACAGATGCCCCTTTACCAGAGATTCACCCCTTACCTGTGAAGGTAGACTCACAGGTGACCCCTTACCTGTGAATGTAGACACAGGTGGTAAGTGAGTTGACAGCTCCCTGCCCTCCCTACTAAATATTTCAGACAGGTCAGTGGAGAAAAGTGGTACCAGGGAGACCTGTGGTGGTCAACATCTCAGTCTCCTTGGAGACCCGCCAGACCCTCGATGTCAGTCCTTTCCGGGCCGCCTCCTCTCCCCCATCTACCACCCAGCTGCCCCCCTGGGGGCACAAGCCTCGCGACGCCTGGCCCTGGGGACGCAGAGGCAGGGCCGTACCTGGCCATCCGGGGCAGCAGCTCAAACATGGTGTCCAGCACATTGCGGTAGCGCTTTTTCAACTTAAACAACCTGAGGGAAGAGACCGGGGGGGCGCTCAGACGTCGGCATGGCCGCAGCCCTGCTCCCCGGCACGGGCTGGAGGGGACGGCCCGGGGCCTCTTGCCCACCTGAGCCCTGCTGCCCTCCTTGCCGCCAGCCCGGGGGCATCTCGCCAGTCTCCTCCTTGGGGGAGGCAGGCATTTACCAAGAGAGCCAGGAGGCTCTGAGAGGGGCAAGGCCTCGCTCAGCACAGCGAGGCAAAGCCTAGAAAGAAGGGAACAGAAGCCACACCTGCAGACGAGCCAGGTGCATGGTGGCTCAGTGGTTAGGCAGCCAACAAAGGGCCGCCGTGTATGGGGAGGAAGCGGACGTTCCCCCAACCCCGGCCCCCACTACTGGGGCACAGCTGCGGGTTCTTCCAGAGAGATGCTGCCCCTGACCGCCATCCCCACCTCCACCTCTCCTCCCAGGAGCGACACGTATGGGATCGGGGCAGGATACACACAAGGAGACCCAAGCTTCTGAAGACACCAAGAGCTCCCGACCCCCAGGTGGTAAGGGGGGGGGGGGTCTGTGGAGCAGTGCCTTACTGATTCCCCACAGCCATCTCTGCGGAAAAGGTGAGACCCAGGGAGGGTTTTTCTTGACAAGACGCTGTGCCAGAAAAGCTCGGGGGCCCCTCAAAACTCCCCTTGCACCCTCAGAGGCTGTGGCCTTCTGGTTTACAACTGTGAGCATGTGCGTCTTTGTGGCTGCAGGCCGAGGTCACCTGCGCTGTGGGCCAGGTTTCCCCTCCACAGTCAGAGGCAACCATCTCCGGGATGTGGGGAGGCGGGCAGGCCGCACGCCCCCCACAGGTGGAGACAGGCTGGGCACCTCCGCAGTGGGGTGCGTCTGACACCAGGCTCGTGAATCTTCCGGTGCCCTCCTGCCACTTCCCAGACCAGTCCCAAGGCTTTCCCCGCCCTGCCCCTGCCCCTGTCACCTCAGCAGCTGGAGGGGACGCAGGACGACTATGAAATAAAAGGGCTCCATGTCGAAGGCCAGAGCCAGCAGTCCCAGGAAGGCGAACACCGTGACCGAGAAGTCGAACCTGGGAGGGAAAGGGAAAAGCAGCGGTCCATTCAGCCTGCCCGGGCCCGCCTCCGTCCCGCAGCGCCCCAGCCCTGTTCTCAGTGCCCCCTTCCAAGGAGCCCACAGGAGGACCCCAGCAACAGCAACAGGAAGCGGCTTCCTGCCGCCTTGGGGTTTCTGAGGCCGGCTTGGCTGGACCCCCAGGACAGCACACACAGCAGGGATCAGAAATGCCCAGAAACCCCCCTCCTGAAGGTCCTGCACTGGTCTAATGGCAGACGTCAGGTTACACGGGTAACCTCTGACCCCGACGAGGTTACTGAGGGAAGGGGCAGGATGGGCAGGTCAGATCCCCCCAAGGCCGGCCAGCCAGCCCTGCTGGAGCCAGGGGCCTTCTCTCCTCTGCAGACACCCATGGAGACTCTGAAACAGCAATGGTGCACGTCCCCCTACTGCTCTTCCTCGACTCTTCTCTATCTGCCAAGACCAAGACCTCATGAGTATAGCCTGACTTTGTGGGCGAGTTCACTTCAGTGGGCGGTAAGTGGCCTTGGAGGTCTCTGTGGAATGGGGACAAGAGCCACTCGGGGCTCTTCACCACCCCCAGCTAGCGGCTGACCAAGGTGGGTGGGGAAGCTTCCTCCTCTGTCGGAATCATGGTTTTTATGGAGGAGAAAAGAGCGTAGTTGCTGGCGATGGGTGCAGGGACTAAAGGACTAGGCAGAGCCAGCCGGCCTAAGGACCCTTAAGAGGCCATGTCTAGGAGGAAGGGGCAAGGGGGGCCTGATGCTGGCAAGTCCCAGAGCCACACGCAGAACTGCTCCAGCAGACAAAGGCCTTGTCCCTGTCCTCGGCCCCTCCTCCTGCCACAGCAGGCCACGGTGTGTGCTGTAGGTGTGTAGGGAGAGGACCCGCGGCTCTTGCAGTCTCAGACATGGTTAAGAAACATGCACTTCACTCACAGATTCCACCCGGAGGACAGGTATTCCACGGGGCCAAGGCCAGCAACCTTCAGGAACAGCTCCACCCCGTATACTGGGAACAGGAGGAGGCCATTAGTAGAGGCCCCGCCCCCAGCCCCACCCACACCTGGCCTGGCTCCGTTTCCCGCTGAGGCTCTTCTGAGGTCTCCAGCCTCCCCTCCCAAGGCCAGTATTTAAGACAAGCAGTTCAGCAAAGCCACGTTCAGAAACCTACTAGTCAGAAAGACGACGTAGCTCCAGGGCACATGCTTGGAGAAGAAGTTCCCACCTGTGAGACAAGAGGCGGGAGGTCAAGCGGTGGGGCCTGGCGTGCCCACAGGACCAGCCGGTCCCCCAGCCAGGGCTCACCTTTCAGCATGAAGGTCTCCACAAGGATCCAGACCCCGTTGACTGCCACCACCAAGTCTGCAAACAGGCCCGTAATAGAGAAAACACAGATGGGTGTGCAAATCGAGAACTCACAGCAGCAGCCCCCCCGGCTACCTTCCCGGCGGCCCCCGGGAGATGCTCCACACACCCATGTGATGGATGGCTTCCTTCCGCTCAGTGCTTTTACATGAGCTACATCAGCCAGTGGTTTCACTTAGAAAATGGCTACAGGTTTCTAAAAGCATGCTCTATGTCACCGTAGGGATACCAGTTGTTTTTCAGTAAAACCCACAGGCCATTCCAAGTCGGTGTAAAAGTTGCATGAGTATTAAAATGGTTGCTCTTCCCCAGAGACAGGTGATTTTAAGATGACTGCATGAGCTAGTTAGCAAAATGACATATTCATTTGGCCTTTTACATACGAATCCCAGTTCTAGCGAGCCACCCCCATGACATACTAGCAAAACACAAAACAAGGTGTCCTGCAAGCCACCTGCTGGAGCACTGATCATGAGAGCAAAAATCTAGAAGTGCTCTAAATGATCAACAGGGGACTGGCTGGATCAACTATGACACGTTCATGAAATGGTGAAGTATCAACTCTAAAAAGAAATGAGGACTATCTCTCTATATTGATGGGGAGTGGTCTCTGGGATATATTGTTAACTGAAAAAAGCAAGGTGGGAAAAAGTGTATATAAAGTATGCTATCGTTAAATTAAGACTCGGGGATAGGCATATATGTGTATCTACTTACAGCTTTTAAAAAATGGAAGAAGAAACCAAAATAGAAGTTACCCATTGGAGGAGGTTTGACAGGATGTAAATGAGATATCCTTAAATATACTTTGTTTTATAGATCTGACTTGGAACCACGTAGACAATTTACATAAGTATAAAACAAAGTTAGATGTAAAAAAAGCAATCCCTGAAAATCAAAAATAAAATGAAATAAAGAAACCTAAATGTGTGTCCAGTTGGTGACACCCCCACGTTGAGAAAGGACCACTACAGGTGACCTTGACACGTGTCATGTGAATGTATGTCCCCAGAGGGATGTTCTAGTCACTGTGTTGCTGGGACTGTGTTGGGATTACTGTCTGGAGACAGTTATGAGTCTACTGTGGGATACAGCAAATGAGTGACTGTGTGAGTAGTGTTGGGAACCAGGATTTTAAGACGGGGGCGAGGGGAGAATCTGGATATGAAAGAATGAGGAAGTTCGGTAAAAATGCAATAGTCCTGAATCTGAATTAGAAAAGTCAGGATAAACTCCTGATATGGTTTATCTTTAAAAACAAAATCCTACCTCTGTCCATGGAAAGGCCTAGAAGTAATAACCAACTCCAAGCTGCGAGCACCTTTAGCATTTCAAACTGTGGTGTCTAAGCACCGTTTCCCACTAAATGGAACCAGAGCTCCTTAGAAAGACTGAATCCCACCAGGCCTCTCCATTAGTACTGTCCAAGACGACTTCCTATGACAACGGAAATTTCCTCCTCTGGGCTGTCCAACTGGTAGTCATTACAAACGGTAGTCATTAGCTGTATGTGGTGACTGAGCACTTGAGATGTGGCTACTGTAGTTTTTCTCATTTTAGTTGCTTAAATTTAAATAGTCACACATGGCAAATTGCTACCACACTGGACAACACAACTCTAGATGTAACTACCAGACCACAGGAAATAAACAATGGAGGAACACGCAAAAACAAGACTGAAGGCCCAACAGTCCCATTTCTTCAACTCACTGTCACAAGACAGAGAAAAGGGATGGAAGAGAAACCTACAGATTGAAACCAACTTAAGTGACAGAGCAACCAACCACATGCTGTGGTTCTGAAATCTGCTTCCAAAATCTCCAGGTCTAGGGAGGGGATGATGAGCCACAGTGAGGGTACAGATGGACAGAAAGACTGGCCATGGGGTGACAGCCATTGAAACTGGGTGATGGGTACATGGATGCTCATTATCCTCTCCCCACTTTTACACATGCTTGGAATTTTCTATAATAAAAAGTCAACCACACGGCTGCAGGGCTAATCTCTTGCCTCTCCACCTTCTGGAATGGTAAAAGGCTCAGGCAGGATGGGGCCTGGAGCTGTGGTATTTCTCACTTACACATGAAATACTGGAAGGCCTTGGACTTCACAAGGATATTAATTCCTATTTGAAGAGAAGAAATGTTAACATCGAAATCTTCATTTGCAAGGACACTTTCCCCGACCACACACTTCGCACATGTGAGCAATCAGGGTGTTTATGCCCAGGGGTGAGGAAGGAGGGCGTACTCTGAGAGTGACCCCATGCTTGTGCTCAGGCAAGACCACACAGCCAACAGCCGTTCTGGGGAGAGCCCGGCAGCTCGGAGTCAGGATGGAGCACAGTGAAGCTTTGCTGGCCACTGCCAACCTTAACTTGCCGTTGGCCTCAACCCGGGACTATATTCATCCACTTGAGTAACTATCCCTCCATGGAATGGAAAACCCTCTAAAGAATATGGACTAACAGCGATGCCCGAAGCCCTAGCTGCAGGAGAAATCACCAAATAGGATACACCGTCCTGACTTGTTCCTAATGGCCCACACCCAAGGCTTCAGGCTTCTTGCACGAGAAATCCCCTGCGAGCTAACCATGCCCCTCCACGGAACTTCAAAACTGGCATTTAATTACGGTGCACACTTGGATTTCAGAATTTTGAATTTTCTGCTGGGCAAGCATGATGTCAGGGATCATCTATGCTCGCTACATATCCTGCCACAGGAGGATGGTCGGAATATGCGATTACGCACAAAGGCAGATTTGAGAAGAGAATCGATAATGTAATCCTACTACCTTTTAGAAAACACACTTACTTGCCTGCTGGGGTGGCCACACTGTCTGTCTCTTGTATACACAGACATTCAGACGCACACATACACACACACCCTGTGAGCATGCTCTTCAAATGCTCATCTGTGGTCTTTGGAAACCTCCATCTGTCCCCAGCTGCCCAGATGTCTTATTCAGGTCAACCTTACCTTTGAAGATGAGGAATGCTGTTCTGGGAAGCTCATCAAACCAGTGTTCTCTATTTCTCTTGGCCTGGCCAGGAAACAGGGCCATGGAGAGGGGGTGTGAGGACCAGTGACCAGAACCTCGCCCTAGGGGCCAGGCTGCCGCTTTCCTGCCCTGCTCCCCTGGCTAACTTGGGGAATAATGAAAACACTCAGGGATGGAAATAAGGACAACGATGCCGCTGTCCACTGAGCCTGTAAATGGAGCCGCGCACATGCCTTCTTTTTACGTAATCCTGAACATAACTGTAGGTAGGGATCATCGTTCTCCCATTTCCCAGGTGAGACAGGCCTTGGGAAGGTTCGGTAACTTGCCTGATGTCCGTGACTAATGGGGTGCTCTTAAGCAGGAAGCTACAGGGCAATGGTCAGGGCACAAGGCGGGGGGCACCTGTAATCCTGCAGCGCAGGGTGCCAAGCCAAGAGCTGAGCTGTTCCAGCCAGGAAGGAGCTGGGCCTCCGGTGTGCTCAGCCTCATCCCCCCACCCCCCAGCAGCTGGCCCCACTCCCTCTCTGGCTCTCTGGTCTTTGCACGAGCACTCACCTTCCACTTCAAGGCAGCAACTTCGTAGATATCATAAAAGTCTTTCAGGCTGTTGTAAGCAACGTGAAAAGGTTAAAAAAATCAGAACCTGTTCTCACTGAGCTTCAGGTCTCCCTTGTCCACCTGTGGTCCCCTTCAATGGGGGAGGGGACATCTGCGAGTTTCAGCACCTCAGGGCCCCAGGGACCCTTACCGGGGGCATTTCATCTCTTCCCTCCAGGTGCCATGCATACTGAATCTGCTTCGTCTACACTGATCACAGACAGCTTTAATCCCCCTGGATGACTGTAACTCTTAGATGGACAGGGACAGAGCCTCCTCTAGCAGAGGACTTAATGGAACGGCTGAGTTCAGCCCAAAGAGAGCTCAGTCACTCGTGTGTCTATAGCTGGCCCGCTTCCTTCCCCAGAAAGAAGAGTTCTGATCGTCAGCAGTCTGGAAGACCATGACTGCCCATGCAGATCTCAGGGCCGTGTGTGTGTGTGTGTGTGTGTGTGTGTGTGTGTGTGTGTGTTTATCTGGCTCTGTGGCTCTGCTCACATGGGATTCAGGGCTGAGAATGAGTGGTGGGGCCAGTCCATTTCATGAGCCAAAGCATTCCTTTTTTGTAAAGCTAGCTTGAATTGGGTTTGGGCTGGGCTTCTGTTACTTGTGAAAAGAAACCTGATGAATAATACCGTCTACATGTATAAGAATCTCTGTGGGGAAAACTACTGTCTAACAAGCTTCTTTGCCCAGCCACCTGCTGGGGCCTTTGCCTGCTCCAGCTCCCTCTCATGACTGCCTTTGGCCACCCTGCCCCACCTGGTGTCCACTCTTACCTGAGCAGAGGTGTGTTGCTCTGATTCAGGGCCTTAAAAGTCAGATAACGCTCCATGGCACTCATCCGGGGCCTGTAGAAGCGCATCAGGCCTTCAAACTGCCTGTAGGAGATGCCGGAGGGTCTCTGCGGGGAGAGGACAGACGGCCGTGTGAACACAGGGAAATGCAGAGCCCAGACTGCCCCTTCCCTGGGGGGCAGCCCCTCGGGACAACAAGGGATCCCAGGGCACCTGGCTCGTTCTTATTCCCCCAGGGGCAGAACTCCTGGTTTCTAAAGCTGCTGGCCATGCTGCGCTTAGGGGGCTGCTCAGGGCAAGTGAGGGGCAGCAGGGACCACTCCCCTGCCCAGCCCGGCCCGCACTCCTCCCTACCCGTTGGCTGATGAGTAGGCGGTAGGCATGCTGGATGGCAGTTCGCTTATGCAGCAGCAGAGACTTGAACTTGCGTTTCTCAATGTCATTGAAGGTGTCGAACACCACGGCCAGAAGCTGTGAGAGAAGAACACGGGACCTGGCTCCCCTGCGGGGTGGGCCTCAAGGGGTTGGGCAATTCCAGCCACCCCAGAAGGGGGGCTTCACAAGACCCTCTCCCCTGTCCCTCATATAGGAAGTCTGTCTCCAAACATCAGCAGAGGAAGGCCATCCCCTGCCACTTGTAAATTTTCTCTCTTCGGATACATGAAGTCATTATTCTACTTCCCCCAAGTGCTTCACTCAGCCTAAGCTTGCGACTGGCTGGGCATTGTTCTAACGGGAAGCGGAGAAAGGACCACACTGGGTTCTACACCCAGTTCATCCCAGTATCATGGCCAGGGAGCCCGTGTCCACTCCAACCTCCGGGCAGGAAGGAACACCGTTGCACAGGATGCTTCTTCCCATGTCCCCTTGTTCCCTGTGAGTCACAGCTCCACGCATGGCCCCAGAAATCAGGGTGGTGGGATAGCCTGCCCTGCAGGGCACAACATTCCCAGGCTGCCTAATTCCAGACCTGGCGTATTAACGACGATGCAGTCTGCATCATCAAAGGGCAACAGGAGGGTGGGAGCAGAATTGAGAGAAGCCTTTTTTGGAAACCCTTTCTTTTTCTCTCAAAAATACTTTGAGGGACACTCTCTTGTCTTTTCCATCCCTTCAAATTGGTCCCCCATTTTCCCCCTTTAGCTCAAGGGAGGGTCAGCAAACTTTTTCTATAGAGGAACAGATAGCAAATATTTTAGGCTCTGAAGTCCAGATGGTGTCTGTTGAAACAACTCAACCCTGCAGCTGTAGCATGAAATCAGCCACAGATGATGCATAAACAAATGGACGTGGCTGTGTGCCAATAAAACTTTATTTATAGAAATAGGCGGTGGGCTGGCTTTGGCCCGCAGGCTGCAGTTTGCTGACCCATGCCTTAGATTTTCACAGCTCTAAATACATTACAAATTGAAGCAAATCAGTTACACAGAATATATTTTTATGATTCTAAACTGACAACAGCATATAAGAACTATAACATGTGTAAAGATAGCCAACATTTTGGTTTTGAAGAATAAAAAAGGAAAATATTTTCCTTTTTAAGACTTCCAGTTTTTAGGACATTTCACAAGTCTACCCCAGGGCAAGTGCTTTCCATTTCTACCCTGGGTCTGACTGTGGTGAGCAGTGTAAGAACGCTTTCCAGAAGTATAAAAATAAACACAAGATTTGGGGCGCCTGGCTGCCTCAGCTGGTAGAGCATGTGACTCTTGATCTTGGGGTTGGGAGTTCCAGCCCACAGTGGACGTAGAGATTACTTAAAAATAAAATCTTTAAAAATAAATAAATAAATAAACACAAGGGACGCCTGGGTGGCTCAGTCCATTAGGCATCTGCCTTTGGCTCAGGTCATGATCCCAAGGTCCTGGGATCGAGCCCCATGTCGGGCTCCCTGCTCAGCGGGGAGCCTGCTTCTCCCTCTGCCTGGCGCTCCCCCTGGTTGTCCTCTCTCTCTCTCTGACAAATAAATAAATAAAATCTTAAAAAAAAAAATAAACGTAAGACTTGATGAAGCCTCTCCGATAGTTTTGGCATTGATGTGTGGTCTCGACACGGGGAATCTACTGATGGCAAGACCTTCCTGGTGGCCAGTTGGGCCTTGGCAAACACCTCCAAAGTTCCCAATATGCACGGGGACTTCACGTTCTCCTTAGCAGAGTGCGCCCTGCATTGGCTTTTCTAATGGTTCCCGATTGGTGCAGTGGAAACAGACACGTGGGTGCAGCAGGACGGAGTGGTTAGGAGCAGGGCTCTGCAATCCAACCAGCTCACCCGACCACCCCGAGCTGTGCAGCTGTGGGCAAGTCACTCTGCTGGTCTGGCCCTCAGTTTCTTCATTGGTAAGTTGAGAATCATAACAGTAGCTCCAGGGTTTTTGTGATAAATCATTTAATCCTCATATACAAAGCACTTTGCCCAGTGCCTGGCCACGGCTTCATTAAAGCCAGCTTTTAGAGTTATTTTTTTAATTTATTTACTTTGAGAGCGAGAGAGCATGCATGCATGAGCCGGGGGGAGGGAAGCAGTGCGGGGGGCATCTCCAGACCCTGAGACCCTGAGATCATGACTTGAGCTGAAATCAAGAGCTCAACCAACTGAGCCACCCAGGCGCCCCAACCAGCTTTTATAGTTATCCTGACACATGTTTGCTGGGGAAGGAAAGGCCCCAGGGCAGCCTGACCTAACAGGCTGCCTGTAATGCTAACAGCTTGGTAGCAGTACTACCCCGGGGAGGCTGCTACCACTGTAACCAGAGGAACTCGAGTCCCGATAACGCATCTGCTGCCAGGCCACACTTGACTACGGCCTGGGACCCGTTCCCCAAAGGAGGCCGAGAGTGATCCTTACTTCATTCCCTCGGTGCCCAGCACTGTGCTGGTGGGATGGAAGCTTGGGGTGGGGGGGCACGACGCATGCTCACTCACCAGGTTCATGATGAAGTACAGCTCGATGGAGAGGTAGACGATGAAGAAGACACAGGACCAGGGGTTCCGGGAGTAGGAGGGCATCATCACATCTGGGAAACTGGATTTGCAGAGCATTACTGCAGGGCCCCACGTCTGCTTTCTCCCTTTCTCCATCTTCCCAGAGGATATCTCTCTTTTCTGCCTTCCCAGCCCCACCCCACCTTCCCCTCCTCTCGGTCCATGGGCTTCCAGCTCATCGGGCCACCCCCATCCCTGGGCACCTGTCTGTGCTCAGGTGTGGAACATTCTTGGCTGAAAAGAGAAGACCCTGGGGCACCAGCAGAGCGCCCAAGCCCAAGCAGAGCCCACACTCACTTGGCTGTGGTCAGAAGGACAAACAGACTGACGATGCTGTTCTCCAGCGTGCTGAAGTACTATAGGGAAAGAAGGCAGAAGAATGCGTTGGCACTAGGAACAGGCCGCCATGGGCCACCTGGAGTGCCCCGCCCTGCCCCTCCTCTCCCCTCCCCACCCCACCAACTCCCCCTCCTCCCAAGGAATCCTGAGGACAGAGGAACGAGCAAATGTGGAGTCCAGCCGCCTCTGCCTTCCTGAACTCTGTGCTTCTGGCAGAAGCAGACAACTCACTGGGACTATTTTCCTAGAGAATCACATGTCTGCACCATCGGCTTGGCTCCCCTCCACTGCTCTTTCACCAAATCTGTTCCAGATCTGATCCTGGAAACATGCGTTTCAAGGGCAGGAAAGGGGATTCCCTTGGTGCTTAAGGAAAGGATCGGTTCAAGTATGGGTGACAGGAACTTTCCAGCGCCATAAATTATGCTGAGAGACCTTCCTAATGTGGCCAGGGGGTCACGCTGGCCACCCTGTTTGAAGGGAAAGGCCCCACATTAAAAAAGAAACAGGGACGCCTGGATGGCTCAGTCCGTTAAGCATATGACTCTTGTTTCAGCTCGGGTCATGATCTCAGGGTCGTGGGATTGAGCCCCATGTTGGCGTGGAGCCTGCTTAAGGTTCTCTCTCTCCCTCTGCCCCCCCTCCCATGCATGCACGTGCTCACTCTCTCTAAAAAAACAAACAAAAAAAACAAAAAAAAATTTTTTTAAACACAAAGAACAAAAACAAAAAAGAAAGACAAACACAGAGATTACTTACGGGGTCTGAAGGATCAGGGGAGAACAAGTAGAAACCTAGAAGGTGGCAAAAAACATAAAAAAGGTTAGAGCAGAGGTCCCAAACCCAGACGTCAAAGTATTGCCCAAATAAATGTAAACGAGGGCAGGGGGCAGAGGGCGAGCATCAGGGAGTGGTGGGGACTGCGGCATTCTGGAGAACACACCGTGCTCTGTCTAAAGGAGCAGGTGTGCCTGGACACGGCAGAAATGCTGCCATTTGGGAATGTGGCCCAAGAACCAGAGTCTACTGTTTGTAAAGGCTGGGTGTATAGCATGGTGACTAGTTAACAATACTCTATCATATATTTGGAAGTTGCTCAGAGAGTAGATCTTGAAAGTTCTCATCACAAGAAAAAAGAATTTAATTGTGTGTGGTGATGGGTGTTAACGAGACTCACTGTGATCACTTCATGATATACACAAATATCAACTCATTATGTTGTGCACCTAAAACTAATACGATGTGGTATGTCAATCCCATCTCAATGTTTTTAATTAAAAAAAAAGATTAAAAATTTTTTCAAGGCTGGAAATCTATATTTTCAGGCAACAAATCTAATTTTTAAATGTTGGCTCAACATTTTCAGACCAAATGAAACTCATCCAAGGGCTGGATTTGGAATCCAGACTGCTGGTTTGCAATTTTGGTTTTGGGAACATGACAGCCAAGTAACAATTCCAAAGGGATCCCCTTGTTCTCCTATAGCCCAGGGTCCTGGGGTGGGAACACCATCAGTATCCTCCCTCCTGGAATAGGCTATTCCCCTGAGACCTCGAAGTACTGAGTGGGAAAAGGGAGAAGCTCTGCCCTCAGGGGAGGCAGCTGCCTTGGAACACAAAGGAAATTCAACAGAGACTGGGGGCTGTAGGGTGAAGGGTAGGAGGCAACTTGGGAGACACTGGTTTAGGACACAGCAGTCAGAAGGGCCCGAGGCTCTGGCCTTAGAGGCAGAGCTCTCTGGTTCCACTGTCTTCACCATCCCAGGACCAGAGAAGGGACCCCAGGCTTCCCAGCCACGTCCCAGGGTCTCTACTGTCTAAGCCCTGCGTCTGGACGTGGCTGTCACATAAGTACTTGGCCTTATCTGAAGAGGCAAGGCTTCCTCGGGGTTAGAAAGGCCATGATCTTGCTTTTAAACCCGGGGAGGCTGAAGTGTGCACATGCTACCGTCCCAGGCACATGCCCTAAAGGAGTCTCATACACAGGAGATGCGCGAGCGTTCCCAGCAGCGTGACGTGTAATAGTGAAAACAGAAAAAACTTCGCAGGAGGGCGCGCACACGCACAATACATAACCATTTATGTAAAATGTTTCAACATGCAAAGCAATCGCACTTATTCGTGGTTTAAGGGAATAGGAAGTATAACTACAAAGATATGCGTGCGATGGTAAGCCTAGGTCAGGAAGGACCTCTGAGGGGAAAGGGAAATGACCTTGCAAAAAGATACAGAGATGGCTTCCATCTTATTCCTAATACTGCATCTCCTAAGTTGAAGGCCATGAGGGTTTAACTAGACTTCTAAAACTGTCCAAGTCCATTTTCTCCAACTGTGAATTTGCTTTTTAGAGGGTGCCGGGGACTCACCGAGGATGGCGAAAATGACCATGAAGAACAGCAGCAGCAGGAGGATGTCCATGAAGGGCGGCAGAGACTGGAAGATCTGCCGCAGGTTGCTGGGCAGAGAGCAGGACAGGAGGGGTGAAGCGGGGAGGGCTGCCTGGGACTCCATGGGCGAGACGGGGGCCTGGGGCTCCTGATTCACACAACATTACGTCCTACTGCACCCTAGTCTGTGACATCACGCTTAGCGTTTCCCCGGAGGACTTGCACTCAGTGGGTGAGAGGAAGACCGGGGGCAGGTGCGGCACATGCAGCCCCTCCCCCTGCTCGTAAGGCCCCAGCAGACAACGGCCCTGTGAGTATCGGAGGGAAGGGCAGAAGGCCAAGTGCACGACCTTGGGCACAAAGCTTCCCTGAGTGGGATGTGGGATGCATGAAGACATTTCGGGGCCACCTAATCCTGGGACACTTGCTTGCAGCTCTGAGGATGGGCCTAAAGAGTGAACTGCTAGCCTGTTCTCATCAACAGTGCCCCAGCCAAGAGATTCTCCAGACGGATTCTTCAGAACTAAGCTTAACTCCAGGCTGGTGGGCAGGCTGAGTCCAGCCCCCCAGGCTCAGTGGGGGTGTCAGCCTGCCGAGTCGCTCGGACTCTGTGGAGTTGCCTGCTTCGGGCTGCCGCCGCAGCTGTATTTGGGCAACTAATGTGCTCAGAGAGAGAGAAGCCAGCCCCAGAAGGCTGTAGGTAAGATGGCAGAGAGCCCCACACCGGGGGCCGGGAAACCAAATCGGAGCAGATTCCCGCCTTGTGCTCCGTATGGGTTGAGCGGCAAAGGGAAATGAGCGTGCTTATATTCTCCCAGCGTGCAGGACTGATCTTATCACTACTTGACTCACTGGGTCCTGCTCCACAGGCCCAGAGGGTCCAGGCCAGGCCACGATAGCGACCGTCTCGTCCCCCAGGCCTTACCGCCGGACGCCCCCGCAGTACCGACAGTCCACCAGGAAAATGCAGCGCAGCGCCCGGGTCACACGCACGTGGGACGTCTGCCGTACCAACACCACAATGGCCTCGATGAACTGCACCACCAGCACGGAGGTCTGGGGATGGACAGGCACAGAGCACCATCAGCCCCTCGAACCCAACCCCCCTCCCAAATACCCAGAACAGCGGGCCGGCCAGATCCTGCCCACTCTAGCCTCAAGAGGCCCTTCCCCTCTCTCCAGCTCTCTCTCAGGCCTCCCCAACATCAAGTAGCCCCTGGAGACAAGCCCTGTGGCTGCTGACACAGACGTGTGGCCCCAGGAGAAGGAAGCCACAGGCAGAGCTCCCAGCAGCTCAATGGGTAGTATTCCGAGCAAAACTGCCACTCTGCCCAGCCACGTCTGCCCACCCTCTGCCTTCAGCTCTCCCCACATCGCTGGGGCCTGCAGGGCATCCTGGTCTGCCATTCCTTGGGCGCATTCTCCTGGACAAGTGTGTGTGCTTTTTACACAGCAAAGTGCACTCTGCCGCGTTCCTGCTCACTGCACAGAGAGAGCTGTAGTTACTGGCTGCTGATCAGTGTGGGCTTGAAGGCCAGACAGACCTGGGTTTCAATCCCAAGCCTCTGGGATTTACATCCCATTCTCGTCTGGATGGCAGGGTGTAAACTAGGAAGAGTAACACGTCTCCCGCAAAGGCTGTCGTGCCAGGGCTTGGCACACACTAGATGCCAAATCACAATGGCTCCTGTTAGCATCACCATGACCTTCAGAGCAAGGCTCCGTAAGGCGAGGACGGGCCCCAGGGTCACACTTCTGAGTGCAGGGCTCAGCCCATGGGGGATGTGGAATTGAACTGAAGACACAAGCTTGAAGGTGACATGGAAGACAATGCCATACGGAGATGGACCCATCACCTTGACCATGGTCCGTTTGTGCCGGATGAAGGTATGGAGGCCCAGCCACCGCAACTTCATGCAGAGTTCAAACACAACCACCATCAGGGCGAACAGCTCCAGGGTCGCGTGGACCTGCAATCAAAGGGTGTGGGGGAGATATCGCATCACCAGCCCCACTGTCTCCCCGACCGGCGGTCACAGCCAGCTACCTCTTCCCCCTGAGGCTGAAGATGATGGGTGGCACTGCTAATCAGGTGCACTGCTCACCGGGAGCCAAGGTGTGCCCCATGGTCCTAAGTGAGGCAATCAGATGGCGCCCCGCCCTGGAATTTACCAGGGAGCCAAATCATGGGGGGTGGGAGGGGGTGCATTCATTCCAGCAGGGACTCCAGACGAGACTGGTGATTCATTGCTGCTCCTGAGTCCTCTGTGACCCACGCCCCCCCCCCCCCCCACGGCCTCTCCGTTTTACATCCGCTCATAGTATCTGCCCTTCCAGAATGTTCCGTCAGGCGGGCCATGGGGACGGACACTCACGTAAATGCCGAGCCGGAGCGCGGGGACGGCGGGGGCCTCACACAGGGAGAGTAGCAGCAAGAGCAGGGCTGTGGACAGCTCCATCAGGTAGAAGAGGTGGTTGTGTGCAAAGAGGTAGGCCGCCAGCGCTTTGGCGTTCTTGGGGTGGGTGAAGAACTTGTCATTATTCTCGCCTTCCTGAGGAAACAAGAGCAGGGTGGGTGAACGGGCTTCAGGATGAGACCCCACAAGGTGCCGTGGGGGGCCGGGGGGCGGGCGGTGGGGAGGAGGAGGCCCCTGGCGACGAGCAAAGATTCAGGCCAGAGAAGGAAGATGATGGGAGATCGAAAGTATTATCTCTGGGGCGCCTGGGTGGCTCAGTCGTTAAGCGTCTGCCTTTGGCTCAGGTCATGATCCCAGGGTCTTGGGATCGAGTCCTGTGTTGGGCTCTGTGCTCCGCTGGAAGCCTGCTTCTCCCTCTCCCTCTGCCTGCCGCTCCCCCTGCTTGTGCTCTCTCTCTCTCTCAAATAAATAAATAAAATCTTCAAAAAAAAAAAAGTATTATCTTCACCAAACTGCACCCCTGTCAAGTCTGCGGATGGGGCTCCTTCCTAAAAACCACCTGGAAGAATCAAAGAATAAATAGTCCCAAGAGAACGAACAGAGGCGACACACGTGAGCCCCTCAGCAGCCAAACTGCCCTTCTCAGAAGTGTCCGTGGAACGTAAGGAGCTGGGGGTCTGGGGTGAGCAAACCCGGCTGGGTCCTGGCTTCCCCGCTCCTCCCTGGAGAACGCTCAGAAAGTTCCTTCCCCTTCTTCAACTACCAAGGGCTAACACATGTACTTAGTCATAAGGCTCCCGCAAGACACTTAGGACGGTGTCTGGGGTACAGCAGACTTCCTGCAGATGTTACCTGTGATTACGATTATAAACGATACTAACATTGAGAAGAAAAGGAGCCTGAGAGTACCTTTAATATATATGTATGTATGTTCCACTTCTTACTTTCTTGACAATTTCGCCTCATTTCCTAAGCCCTGCACAATGACAGGCCTTGCCCTGACTCCTATGCCCCAACAGTAATGGGACAGGGACTGACCCTGGCTGAGTGCCCACCAGACCAGGCACCGTGCTCAGCCCCTTACCTGAGCCCTAGACCCTCCTTTACTCCTGACCACGGCCCTCTCTGGTAGGTGCTTTTATTATCCCATTTGACAGATGAGAAAATCGAGGTACAGAAGCTCCAGTAGCACCTGAGCTTATGGAGCTGGGCAGTCTGGGTCCCACGCCCTGGCTCTGTGATTAGTCTCCTGCTGCTGATGTGGAGACTAAATGACAGAGCCCCGGGAGCGGTCCACTTGTGACTACAAGAGATGACATTCTAGGGCCACTCTCCCTGTTAGGGTCAGCCTTCTGGTGGTGGTGGCTGTGGGGGGGGCAGGGGGGGGCGGGGATCTTCACTGCCTCCCTGGAATTGGTAGGCACAGGGAAGAGGGTCACCCACCTCATCTGCTCCGTCACATCTGCACTCCATCCAGCAGCCAACTCGGAGTGGAAACTCACTTGGTAATGCTCTGCATGCATCGCCTTGCTTTAGCGCTTCAGAACTGGGAGCAATGCTGCCCCCCCGCCTACCCCACCCCAACCTGGCCTGGAGACATCTGCTCATCACCCCTGGGGGTGCTGCTGGCAACTAGCGTGCAAATCCCGGGGTGCCACACAACACCCTAAAATGCACAGAAGATGCCCCCACCACAAAGAGTTATCCGGCCCCAAATGTCAGCAGTGCTGAGCTGAGAGCACCTGGCTCGTTCACTTCCAGCACAGACACTCAGCATAGACTCTTCCTGCTGGCTTCATTTCCTGGAGGGGAAAGTGGTGGAGCCAGAATGGACACCCAGGTCTCCTGACCCAGAGCCCTCTGGAAGCATTCCAGCTGTCCTGGAATGAGGTCAGACCTTCAACTCTTCCAGCTATTCGGCTCTTCTGGGATGAAGGCCACCCTCCCCATGCTCACAACCCTTATTCCAGGGAGGTGAGACTAACCCACACCACAGCGATTCCGGCCAAAGCCGCAGGCTGCAGGAAGGAGGGCTCTGGGCCCAGAGGGGCCCACTGTGCTATGGAAAGCACTCTGGCCTGGCAAGGGACATTGTCAACTCTCACCCAGCACGATGCCTGGTACACACAGTAGGTGTTTAATGGATGTTTGGTAGGATGAACTACTCCTGCCAGAGATCACTTCCCCAGGCCCCAGCTTGCCCGGGGACTGCCCAGTAGCCGCGGGGCGGCGAGCTCTGACCTCAGCTGTGGTTTGCAGGGTAGCTTTGAGCGAGTCACTTCCCTGAAGCCAGACACATCACTACCCTCATTACCAAAAAATAAAGACAAGCCACAGACTCGACAGGGGCAGACCAGACAAAGGGAACAAACATCCTGGCAGTCAAACAGCAGGCACACTTGGCAAGCCTCGCTCACGGTCCTGTGATCTGTGCAGGGCTGTGGTTTGTACCAGCACCACCGTGGCTGGGGGGACACGCAGGGGGGCCTGGGAAGCTTCGGGCTTAGATTACTAGAAAATGCAATTCTCGGGTAATGTCTTCCAGTAAATAGCCAGGAATGAAGGTCTAGCTAGCGGAAACCACTGACAGGGGGGCTCGGGTTTTACCTCTAGGATGAGGAAATGCCAGGCGAGACAGAAGATAAGGTCTCTAGCACCAAGGATAGAGTGAAATATTACTCATGGCACTGGATTCTGATCCAAACTCCAAGAACACTGGCCTTGTTTCCTCGCTGACGATCATGAACTAGATTAGGAGAAATAAGAAGACAGGCCAGTTGTCTATGACTTCTGGCTTCGCTCTCTGCTCCCTGGGGCAGAAATTCCACCCAGGAAACAAGTACTGTCTCAGAGGCACGAGGACTGTGGAGCAGAGCAGAGCACACGACTGCCGAGGATGAGCGAGTCAACAGGTAAAATTGGGGAAGAGCGGAAACCACAGGCACCAGGTACCCTTCAAGCGGCAAGGGGCCAATTACCCAAGCACACCAACCACCTGGTTCAGGGGCCATGCTGCAGCTCAGCCGCAGAGCAGGAGAAAGAAGACTATCTGACACCAAAACAGCCAGCCACGGCTACTATTCTGAGGCATCCAGGTTCTGCTTTTATTTTTATTATTTTTAAAAAACGATGCATTGTTGGTAAGATAATTCAAATAACACACAGGACTATAAGGCAATAAAAATTCTGTCAGCCAAAGATAATCACCTTTAATATTTAGATGAATAACTTTACAGATGTAAGTGGGGATCTGTGCACACGTGCGCGCGCACACAGATATATGTTGCTATATATGTGTATGAACCTAAGTGTGTGTGTGTGTATAAATGTTATACAAAAATTATCACACTACACCTGCAGTTCTGTAGCCTCTTTTTCCACAACCACATGGCCCATTTTCAAATGGATACATGTGGTCACATATAGAAATGAAGCAACAATGTACAGAAGAAAGAGCATCATTTTTTTTTTTTAAAGGTTTTATTTATTTGACAGAGAGAAAGACAGCAAGAGAGGGAACACAAGCAGGGGGAGCGGGAGGGGGAGAAGCAGGCTTCCCGTGGAGCAGGGAGCCTGATGTGGGGCTCGATCCCAGGACTCTGGGATCATGACCTGAGCCGAAGGCAGTCGCTTAATGACTGAGCCACCCAGGCGCCCGAAAGAGCATCATTTGGAGATGAGCTGGACATGGTTTAAATCCACGCTTTGTAACTTACTAGCTGGGTGGCCTTGGACTCCTTTAGCTCCCCTGAGTGTCAGTTGCTAGTCTGTAAATGGGAGACAATCAAGCCACCTTGGGGGGAGGGGGGTTGTTAGAATGCGGCCCACTTAAAAACAGGTATTTTTATTACTAATGTTCTCAGCCGCTTAAGGAGAGAAGAGATTACCAGATTTCTGAAGTCCCCCAGGCCATCCTACCTCTGTGTTTTGACCCATCCCGTGCTCTTCTCCAGCATCTAGTGAACCTTGGAGAAGGTGACGGCGCGTGGGGATCCCTGGGGGATCAACAGGCATGCCTGAGCTCGCCAAAATGTCCCTGAAACATTTCTATTGCTTTAACCTGGATCGGAATGCACCTGCTGAGAGGTACAACTCCTGTGACGCTGCATAAAACATGAGACGCATAGAGGCGCCTGGGTGGCTCAGTCGGTTAAGCATCTGCCTTCGGCTCAGGTCATGATCCCAGGGTCCTGGGATCGAGCCCCACATCGGGCTCCGTGCTCAGCGGGGAGCCTGCTTCTCCCTCTGCCTCTGCCTCTGCCTGCAGCTCTCTCTGCTTGTGCTCTCTCTCTGACAAATAAATAAAACACTAAAAAAAAAAAAAAAAAAGAGAAGCATAAAGACAACTGAACGACTACTGAATACCCAAATGCAACGAAATCTTTCAAAAGAAGTAACAAAACACATACTTGCAATGTGAGAGTTGCTTCAAAGAGAAAAGACTAGGGAAAATTATGATTCGAATGAATTTCAGAAAGATTCCATTTCCTCACCTAGACTCTTACTCCGTGCACACAAGAAACAGAAATCTTACAGTGACAAGAAGGGCAAGATTAAAATGGCGATGCCACAGATGGGGAGACAGGCAGTTAAGGAGGCAATATCCCCTTTGGAGAACACTCGGTAACTGTACATCAAGGGCCCTAAAAATGTTGATTCCTCCCCATCTGGTAATTCCACTTCCTAGAGGCTTGCCTAATAAAACAATCCTGGATATTAAAGAGAGAAAGAGAAATAGCTCTTTGCATAGATGGTCCTCGGATTATAATTTATAATAGGGAAATGCATGATATATAATAAGGGAAGCATAAAAAGGGAAAATATTCAGCCTTATCAGGATAGTTTAAGTAAATTAGGATACATTTACCAGATATAATGATAAAGTCATCAAAATCTGTTTATAGGAGTTATAATAAACTAAGAAAAAAGCTTCTGCTACACACTATGGGAAAGAAAAGACTATACAACTGTAGATACCACGTGACTTTAAAATTACAAAACACATAAAACCTATGTATTATTCTTCAGTAATGTTGACAGTGACTTAGGTGAATGTTTTTTTCCACAGCCCCTTTGTGCCTAAACTTACCGCAATGAGCACGTATTACTTCTAATATTTTAGAAAGTATTTTTTTTTGAAAGAGAAAACAACAACAACAAAAAACAACCAAGTACCAAGCAAGAAACAGCAAACATGAAAGCAAGAGCAAATTAACAGGAAAGGAATAAAGGTGTCTAAGTTCCCATACTGGGCTGACAAACCCCTGCTATAGTGTAACGTATTTAGAGAAACTCCCCCTCAAGAACTGGATGCCAGTGTGCCCCTGAGAAGGGGGACCAGGGCAGGGAAGGCCAAGCGGATAGACTCAGGGAGACTCGGGGGCAGGCAGGGCCACATCCTGGGGGGTCACAAGAAAGCCCACGCACATCGCCCTCCCCATCTGGGCACGATCGTGCTGGCTCTCCCCATCTTACAGATGAGAAGCTCACACATGGAGCAGGGACAGGAACCGGAGCCAGAACTGAACTTCTGGGGATGTAACAGAGCCCTGGCTATGCGACTCGGCCAACAGGCACCGGAAACAGAGATCCCGATCGGAGATACTCACCTGGAGGTAGATTGCTGCCTCTTGATAATTGATCTCCCAGTTGTGACCGGTGGGACTCTCACCCCCTGAGCCTAGACTGGCGGTCCGGGAGTCGTGGATGGCATAGCTGCCTCCATCTGCATAGGAAGAAGAGAGAGATTCACTTACAACCCTGGCTCAAGAGGATAAAGACACCATTCACCAGAAGAAAAGGCTCGTATGCTCACACATATATCCCATTATCTACAAGTCAATGCTCGATCCCGTGGAATAATAGCAAGGATTAGCGTGGCTAATTAAAACTGCTTTTCATTCTCTCGTTAAATGAAAAAAGCAAGTGCAAAAGAACACATATAATATGCTATCGTTTCTGTAAAAAAAAAAAGGGAGGGAACAAGAAAACATACAGATATCTATCTTTACAAAAAGAAACAAAAAGGATAAATTTACTTAGAAGGGGTGTGGGGAGCAGCAAAGAAGTGTCACTCAAAGGAAGTGAACTTTTTGAACATTTTTTTAAAAAGATTTATTTATTTATTTTAGAGAGCGAGTGAGCGAGCAGGAGGGGCTGAGGGAGAGGGAGAGAGAGAGAATCTCAAGCAGACTCTGCACTGAGCATGGAGCCTGCTGACGCGGGATCAGATCATGACCTGAGCCAAAATAAAAAGCTGGGACACTTAACCGACCGAGCCACTCAGGTGCCCCTTTTTTGTACACTTTTGACTTTTGGAAGCATGTTAATATTCTACTTGGTTAAAACATAAAAATAATTGGATTTGTTCCCTGGTGCAGGGTCATCTGTATTTTTTTTTCCCTGCTGACGCCCATGCCTCTTTACTTCCATAACACAGAACCCATCTGCCTTTGGAGAACATCCTCTCCCTACTCTCCACCCATTCTTTGTCTCTGACTGACTCCACCCCTGGCTCCACGGCAGGTGCAGTTAAAGCACCTCACTTCCCTGGACAGGGACTGATCCAGGGGGTGCTGTCCCAAGCCTAGCCAATCAGGGCTGAACTTGGACTTTCCCTGGACCACTGGGGACAGAGGGGCTCTTGCCCTGTTGCTGCGGGTCGCTGCCTCCACCCCACCATGTGAGGGAAGCCTGCCTGGGAAGGAAGCCAACAGGGAACAAAAGAATCACAGAGATAACATTAGTTTCACCCTGGGATTGAGAGATGCCTGATAGCCACCTCCTAGCATTTCCAAAATCTGAGCCTATAAAGGTCCTTTTATACTTAAGCCTGTCTGAACTGGGTTTGTCACAACCCTCAAGTGTGTCTACTGATACACGGTAAGCAAAGGCACCGAGAAATGACTTTCAACTTGTTAATTTATTGGGAAGTTTTATCATCATCTAGGATGAGAATCTGGTTGCCCACAATTCACACTCAAACTGATCCACCTCCAAAAAAAATAAAGAATGAAATATGTTTGGATAAGGAGATATGCAGAGGTGGCAGGAAGCAGATGTGTAAAGCTCACCAAATAGACAGGAAAGGGGAGAAAACTGGCAGGGGTCCTATGGCTGCAGGGTCATACCTGGTCCTTCTAAGCTTGAACTGCCAGCCAAGGGCAGTCGGGTCCACTTCTAAAAACAACTTTATGTAGATATATTTGACACACAGTAAAATGCAGAATCCGACATATTCTGATACATGCACACACTTGTGAAACCATCACTATAATCAAGATCACACATCCATCACCCCTTCATGCCCACCCCTGCCCATCCATGCCCCGGCAACAACTGATCTGTGCTCTGTCACCATTAGATGGATCTGCATCTCAGAATTTTACACAGATAAAATCACGGAGTACGTATGCCTTTTTGGTTTGGCTTCTCTCCCTCAGGGTAACTACTTTGAAATTCATCCATGTTGTATGGTGTGTTGGTAGCTCATTCTGGTGTTTTGGCTGAGTAGTATTCTATGGTATGGATATACCTCGGTTTATCCAATCACCTGTTGGTAGACACTGAGATTGCTTCCAGTTTGGGGCTATTTCAAATGAAGCTGTTATGAACATGCATGCACAAGGCTTTGCATGGACACAGGCTTTCAATTCTTTTGCGTAAATACCTAGCGGTGAAATAGCTAGATCGTATGTTTAGCTTTTTAAGAAACTGCCAGACTGTTTTCCAAATGACTTGCAGTGCAGGGGAGTCCCCATTCCTCCACACCCTCACCCATACCTCACATGCTCAGTCTTCTTAATCTTGACCATTCTAATACTTCTAATATGCATTAGGACTAATAATCTTGAGCGTCCTTCCATATGCCTATTTGCCATTTGCTTGTTTTAGTTGAAGCATCTTCAAATCTTTTGTTTCTTTTTTGGGTTATTTTCTTATTTTTGAATTTTGAGATTGTGTGTGTATATATATATATAATATATACACACACATACACATATACATGTATCCTCTAAATATACACAAGTCTTTATCTATTATTAATATATTCACTCCAGCTTTTGATTATTTCTTTTTTTAATTTAATTTTATTATGTTAGTCACCATACAATACATCATTAGTTTTAGATGAAGTGTTCCATGATTCATTGTTTTCATATAACACCCAGTGCTCCATGCAGTACGTGCCCTCCTTAATACCCATCACCAGGCTAACCCATCCCCCCACCCCACTCCCCTCTAGAACTCTCAGTTTGTTTCTTGGAGTCCACAGTCTTTCTGATTATTTCTCCTGACTAGTGATTAGTGTAGCTTTTTCTATTCTTTTACTTTTAATCTCTTAGTGTCTTTATATTTAAACTGTGTTTCTTGGAGGCAGCATATGGTTTGATCTTGCTTCCCCCATCCAGTCTGAAAATCTCTGCCTTTTAACTGGAGTATTTAGATTATTCATATTTAATGTAATTATAGATAGAGTTAAGATTTAAATATAGTGTCTTGCTCTTTTTTTATAGTTGTCCCATCTGTTCGTTGTTCCCTTTTCTGCCTTCTTTTGGATCACTGAATATTTATTTATTTATTTATTTTTTTTTTTTCTTAAAGATTTTATTTGAGAGAGAGAGACACGGCGAGAGAGGGAACACAAGCAGGGGGAGTGGGAGAGGGAGAAGCAGACTCCCCACTGAGCAGGGAGCCCAACGCAGGGCTCGATCCCAGGACCCCGGGACCATGACCTGAGCCGGAGGCAGACACTCAACGACTGAGCCACCCAGGCGCCCCTAAATATATTGTCTTGCTATTTTTTTATAGTTGTCCCATCTGTTCTTTGTTCCCTTTTTCTGCCTTCTTTTGGATCACTGAATATTTATTATGATTCCATTTTATCTCCTTTGTTGGCTTAGCCACAGTGCTTTCTTCTGTTATTTAGAAGTTGCTTTAGGGTTTACAGTACACATTTTTAATTTACCACAGTCTATTTTCAAGTGATATTGTGTCACTTCATGCATAGGATAAGAACCTTTTCCTTATAACAGTACACTTCCCTCTCTCCGCTCCCAACCTTCAGGCTTCTGGAAACACAGGGATTTCCAGTTCAGAGATCTACTCCGGATTGAGCTTCATCTCCATTGCTAGGATATGTAACTAGGAGAATCCTTCTGGAAGGGACTGCACCAATGGAAGCACATAAGAGCTTGTGTGCTTTGTGAGCTTGTGAGCTCTGTGCTTTGTGCTCCATGTTGATGTAATCCTTACAATCCCAAACAGTATGTACTATCATAAATGCTACTGCATGAGGAGATTAAGCAATTCACCCAAGGTCACACAGCTCTAAGGGGCCAAGCCGGGATTTGACCCCAGGCAGCCTGGTTCCAGAACAGATGCATTTAACCACTATGCCCTACGACCACCCTCTAAGAGAGAGGAGTCTGGGAAGAAGGACATCTGACAATAGTTTTTAACCAGTGGTAATAAACATTTATTGAGGCTTACCGCATGCCAAAACTTATGCTGTGGCAGACTGTATTTTCCAAATCCAGCCACAGCATGATCTTTCATCCTACGTGCTCTTCTAGAACCTTGCTACTTCCCCACAAACGGGTGGGGCCTGTGTCTCCCTCTTGAAACCAGGTGAGACTTTGTGCCTATCTTGACCAATGCAGGATGGAGGACATAATGCTAATGACTTCTGAGGCTAGGTCATAAGTACGTCCCCATCTTTTTCTACTGGGACCCTTGGTCTTGGAACCTAGCCACCATGTTGTGTGGCGGAGAGGCCCGGGGAGAAAAAGCAAGGCCTCCTGTCCACAGCCCAGCTGAGCCCCCAGCCCCCAGCCTGCAACTTGCCAGTCAGGTGAATGAGCCATCTCAAAAACCAAATCCTCTAGCCCCAGACAAGTGTCCAAACTGACACCACGTGGCGCAGAGATAAGCCCCTCCATCAGACCCTGCCCAAACTGCAGGCTCTTGCACAAAATATCTCAAGGCAATATCTGCTATCTTCAGGCACTATGTTTTAGGATGCTCTGCTGTAGAGCGATAGATAACACATATCTAAGTGCTTTATACCCACTGACCTACATAATGCTCCTGACAATCCTGCAGAAAGGCCAGGTACCTTCCTGAGGCCAAGCCGTGAGCGGGAAGCAGGGCTGGAAGACCGAACTGGGTGATTAGTTCCTCGTCAGCAGGCTACGTGCCCCTTCCGTTTCTTCTTGAGAAATGGAAGCCTCGAAAGGGTGTCAGCGTAGTGCCAAAAAGAGGAAATATACAGCAGCAGTTCCATCCCTCGATGAAGTTACAAACAGGAGGTGGCACATCTGGCTGCAGCTCGCCCTTGACCGTTCTGGTCCTTCTCTACCGGAGGTTTTCCCGACGCCGCTCCCAGTGTCCATTTCTGGAAGAACTAAGCCCTAGGCGCGGACAGGAGAAGGTCAAACTGCCTTCCTGGATGTGCTGGTGTGGACCAGGGAAGCAGGAGCTGAAATGTGCCTCCCCAGTAGGCGAAGCCGCCGGCAGGCAGCTGGACGGTGCTGTGACCTCGCGTGCCTGCGCCCGCCATCCGCGACCTTCACACGCCATGGCAGTTCTAGGTGAAAGAAATCACGGGGCCAGTGTGGGGTGGGCGGCGATGAGCCGGCACAGATGGCAGCGGACATTAGTGCCACTTGCCCAGCCGGTACTAGACGCTGGCATCTGTGTGAGCCCCTGCCTCAGAGAGCCTCT